ATATTGAAAACTATATTGTAAATTACAATTACTATATAAAACTTACATAAGTGTTAATAATCTGTAAAAGTAATTGAAGTGCCTTCTACACCTTCTTTATATGTAATCAAAGGTATTAAAAATTATATTCCGAAGAGTGCACGATATCACAATATCATATACATATATATATACCTATATATATATATATATGATATATTATAGATATTGTAACAGAAAATGTGACAGTAACACAGCTTATAACCAAATCTATGGATAGTATTAACGTTTCATACAGGTGAGCTATGGTAACTAATATTTGAAGAATTTATTTTCTCGTACTTTTTCATTGTACGTTACTATAAAACAATATTGCAATGCTGTCTATATATGGTTATAAATAAAATATTCTATAATAGACGTACGACAAAGGAAAAACTGTACCAGGTATCTCGGAAACAGAGTTCACGGTTACTGCCCTATAATATATTTGATGACAATTTGAATTTATTTTTCTATGTACCTGACTATATACCGGACTTCTTCTTTTATCCCGCGACTGTCTCCATGAAAATAATACATTACGTAATTTCGTAGTAAAGGTATTATTTCGGACGAATATCACTTCTCAATTCATGAGATATTATTTCACAAGAGAAGGGGGATCGTTGCGTGGGGAAGTCTGTTATTATGATAATAATAGAGATATTTTATACGAAGAGGGAAGTCGAACGAAATGTCGTTATTGAATTGAGAGAGACTATAGACATTCTGAGATTGTTGTTCTTTTGAACATCATTTGATTCGTCACACAACGTGTGCAGCAAATAATCGATTAAAATTTTTAAGTATTCATCGGTTTGTCCAAATAAGTCGCTCAAAATTTTCGTAAGTTTAATATATTAAAAAATTGAAAATTTCAGATAAGTATTACAATAATACTGTTGTATGATACAGTGCTTTAATACTTTTTATTCGTAACTTTTATTGTTATTACTAAATTTTTATATTTGTATATGATTATTAATATACATGAAAACAACTAGTTAGCAATTATTTACAAAAATAAACAATCAAATATTTCGTAATGTGATATTGTACATATTATTCATGCACATGTAACACGTAGTTGGAAATCTCGATCTATTATAATTATCGCTCTATAATCAGTATTATCATAATAATCGACACTTGTAGTAAATAAGTATATGACATTAATCAAAACAGTGATTGATGTTGGGCAAGTGGATGTTGAGAAGTGATGTTCAGAAGAAAAGCGAAATGCCTGTCTTGAAATTTACGCTCACGGTTTTAGCGGTCGCAGGATGCTGGCGACCAACGTCGTGGACGTCGCTGTTTAGATACATAATGTATAACGCTTACACAGCGTCAATAATTATAATTTTATACACATTTGCAATGACCCAAATTATGGAGCTATTGAATGCTGACGACCCTGACGCAATTGGCGACGCCTTATTCAACGCTCTGATTTCGTTTCTGGCGGGCTACAAAGCAATTATTATACGGATAAATCACGATGATATTGCAATGTTAATTGATAATCTCGTCGAAAAGCCATTCAAACCGATAGATTTGAACGAAAACATGATTCGAGAAAAGTTTGACAAGAGAATAACGTAAGTTACCTTTAGTAATGTAAATTATTATTTATATTATCGACAAATCGCTCATTTGCTATATAACAACGACATAACTAAAAAAATGTCATGTTTTAATTGTTTGCAAAAAGAACGGGTCTTTGAATAAAGAGCTAATATACTTTTGTCCCTCTGGTTATTACAAAATCGCCGTTAAAAATAATATTACAAAATTTTAATAATTCAAAATATTTAAACTTATTTTCTGAAAAATTTTTGCTTCTTGAGCGAAATATGCTATTTGAATTAAATTACATATTTTATATATGTTATTGATTTTATAGGAATAATACATTATGTTATTTAACCCTCGTTATGGTAACAGCCTTCTACATGATTTTTCTGTCACTATTGACGGATTTCAAGAATGGAGTTTTATTGTACAAAGCTTGGTTACCGTTCGACTGCTCAATATCTGTGCTATTTTCTTTCGTATACATTCATCAGATATTAACTCTAATATTTATTGGCCTTCTCCATTCCACGTGTGACAATTTAATATGCGGATTATTGTTGCACATTTGCTGCCAGATTGAGATTTTAGAGTACCGTTTATCAAACATCACGAATGGTCCAGGAAATCTGCGCGATTGCGTAAATCACCACATATACATATTTCAGTAAGTTTTTTTTTAATCTTATAATACTACATGTTTCTTTAAGATAAATATGATCTTATTGAAAGTTTACTTGTAATTTTAAATTAAATGGCAAATTAATACACCACATATTTTTCGCAGTTTTTTTTTATTCTTCTCAGAGAGAGATATGCATTTTAAAAATATATAAAATAAACAAATATGGAAAGAAGAACTTATTGTTGCATGTTACACTCTATTATTTTTATACTGGTGCATAGATCTATTCATATTTCCTTTTTCCAGATTTGCAAAAACACTATTACTGTACTTATTAGATAACGAATAATATATTCATTTCTATTCACCATATTTGTATATTAGAAATATTGTATTAGAAACAAATAATTTTATAAATTATAAAAACTATTATATTATCTTTGATGTAAGAATAGTGCTGAATGTGATTGCCATCTCAGACAAATTTTCTTTAAGAATTATATAAAAGCTATTATATAAAGATATTTATTGAACAATAAAAGTATAAGATATTTTTCATGTTTGTATATTAAAGTTGCCAATGTAAATTCATCAATTGAACATCTTAGAAAAAATTGGTAGATAAATTGAAGATGGTTTTTGTAATTTTAGATACGCGTATATGCTGAACGATAGATTTTCCAAGATAATTCCTAGTGAGTTCGCAATGATCACGGTGGTAATGTGCTATAACTTAATTCATATGGCTTTTAAATCGTCCAATACCGTTTCTTATATACAGGACGTTATGGTTGTGGCATCCACTATGGCTCCGATTTTTTATTATTGTTGGTTCGGCAATGAAATCAAGCTGAAGGTAGTAACTGGTTTTAATTTCACAGTTATTAATCAGTTTATCTGAAAGAAAGTTGCAACATCAACGTCTGTCGCTGCAAAAAGAAGAAAACGTATACACGCACAGTATACATACACACATTGTATAAGGGAGATAAGATATGTGACCTTTTATTATAATTTTATCTGCAGAGCCTCCAATTATCAGACAGTATTTATAACTTGGAATGGACGTTATTTAGCAACAATATAAAGAAAGGTCTTTTAATGATCATGAATCGTGCTACGATTCCAATCGAGTTCACCAGCGCAGATATTATTCCGGTGAATCTTGACTCTTTCCTGAGGGTTTGTATGAGGAATTTATTTTTTCCATGTGATAAATGTACAGTTCATTCAATAAGATTTATCAGTATAATTCTATGATTGTTTAGGTACTTAAGACGTCATATTCGCTTTTTAATGTATTAATACATTCGCAGAAACACTAACGTAGCACAAGATTGATAATTGCTATTTATAATAAAGGACTCCGTAGAATTCTTATGGAAAATGGTTTTTGACAGTGACAATTAGCAGTGACTTTGCTATTTTATATTTTATGTAATGCTAATGAAAATTTAACATTGTCACAATCTCCGAAAAAATCACATAAATTATAAAATAGCGAAGTTACAGCCAATCTTGTCAAAAGTGCCATTTTCCATAAGAATTGTGCGCAGTCCTTTATATCGTGTTTATATTATCAACACAGCAAGAGTGATAGTAATAAATTAATTAATAACAAATTTTCAAGAAAAAATTTTACAAAATTGTCAAGGTATGTTAAGTACCTTATTAATAAATAATAATTAAATTAGTTTAGAAACGCGCGTAAGATCAAATAAGCCGAATATAAGTAAATTACAGAAAATGATTATTTACAATAAAGATATATAAATATAATTATTGCAAACGTTCTTGTGTCCGTGTGTATGTGTGTATGTGTGTGTGCGATAATTCATTTTCATCTTCTCTCTCATAAATAATTGATCAATTTATAGCTTAATATCTATTTAATATTTATCCATTAATAATATACATTATTACAAATATCATGTAATTAATCCTTCAACACTTAATGTCTCTGAAATAGGCATTACATAGTATTTTTAATGTTGTACGTACCTGAGACCGTTTGAAGGAATATTACTTGATACTTTCACATAATATTATTATTTTTATCACTTTTTTCTTGACAAGAATGTTTTAGCAGGAATTGTTAACTCGAACAAATATACAAATATGTAAATTATGCGTTTTTCATTAATTGCAATATTTATATGCAAAAGTTTGGTTTTTATAATGAGTGATATATATATTGGGGCAAAATTGAATGGATCTGTGCTTAAAGATTAAAATAATATCTTCTTTTATATTCTTATTTATATGCGGCGTAGCGAATGCATAAATCGACATGTAACGAGGTGCTTCGTGATGTTTTAAGACTGATAAAAACAAAATAAATAAATACAATAATGATAGATATTATATTAAGTATATTATCTATGTATTATTCTTAGTATTATCTGTAGTATTAAGACTTCCTATACAGATAAGTCATGTTTCCTGATTTATTAATTATTATATGACAAATTCCCTTTTTTGTATAATAATAAATAAAATATTTAATAAAATTATTAACTAATGCGTATACTAAAGAGCAACATCTAACAATAAGTACCTATAATCAGAGGAAAAAATTCATAATATATTAAGTATTAACTTGTAATAAGAATATAAAAATTTTATTTATGCGCGTTCTCTCATTACTGCATATCGCTGTTCTATGCAGTTGCCGTATATTCTATGCAGTTTTGTCATAAAGTCTACATATCATGAAATGACGTTACGCGTAAGCGTTATTATGGAGAAGTGTTATTGCGCACAGATAGATGCTGCAATAACTCATATTTCAATAATAATGCAAAAATGAGTGAGAGAGTTTAGTAAAAAATGAAGATGTTTTGAGACAGAATAATGCAAAATTTTCAAGTTATATTAAATAAAAATTAAAAAAAAAAAATCTAGATTTAAAAAAACTAGAGTATAAAAATATTTTATTAAAACAAATATAGAATTGCATAAGTATACAATTTATGCAACACATTTTATTTTTATTTTGCTTAATATATCACTGCAATTAATCCTATAAGCACTGTATTAATACTATTGCATTAATACACTTTTCTTCGCGCATATCAGCGAAGGTCTTCGTATAATATTGTTTTAATTGCTACAATCACTATCAACATCGAGTAAAAAGAGTTAACGTAGTATCGTGGAAGTTATTACGTCACTGTAATAGCTTCTATGATTCACTTTTTCCCCGATGTTTATGTTCTACCGATAATCGTGAATAGAATTCGATATATTTAAAACGTAGTGTATTTGATGACATGTCAAGCACTGGGTAGTGACAGTAATAAAAAAAAAGTAACTTGCGTGAATGCTTCATATAGGGGCAACTTACACCTGGTGTTCTATATTGATGAATCTCCGAAAGTACATCTCTCTTGCCTTCTACCTTATTGTGGAAATGTTATTTACCCCATCGCGTGACAAAAATTGCAGCTTATCTATACGTTGACTCATTGAAAATAATATTCCGCGCCGTTGCAAAATCGGTATTACGATAATAATAGAGACAGATAGGAAGAAGGTTCGGTGAACGGATCCCGCATTGTCAGAAAGTGGTGTCGCGAGACTATATAGACATTCTAGATATGTATCCCGCTCTCTTGTAAAATTTGTCCATTGTCATTTGACGTGTGAATATGATTTAGCTATATAATAATTTTTCCACAAATTATTTAAATAGTATCAATTACTTTTCAAGATATTTGTGGTAGACACTTTTAATGTCACGTCAAGTAATTGACTGTATTAATTGATCACTTTGTAAGTATAACAGATATATATTATATAAATTTACAAATTTTATACGTTAAAAGATATAAAATTGTACTATATATACACATACTATTATATTTAGTTTAACACTACATAATATATTGTGTTTGGCACAATTTAATCATTTTCTGAACATAATTATTTTTTGCATTTCTTCCAATGCTTGTAAATCATCAATATCTCATAAACAACATAGATATAAATATAAAAACAAAATTCGAGAAAAATATAGTAATGTGAGTAAATAAAAGCAAACGCTTCAAAAACAAGTGGACATAATAATTTTCCATAGTCGCCAGAATATTTTCATAAAAAATTTTATATTATAGGAAGTACGCTTTCTGGTATTATGGCGTCGTCAGCCATATGCAATAATTTTAAATGCCATTTTTATGGATTTTATGAACGGGAACTTGACATACAAGGCATGGATACCATTCGACAGGTCAACCATTATATTTTATTTCGTATATTCACTCACCAAATGATCGATTATGTCGGTATGTCAATCTGTGCGGCTGTAAACGTTGCCTGTTGCCTGCGATAGCCTGATATCCGGATTGCTACAGTGGTTGCAGGAGATCCGCGATCCGCGGTCAACTTAAAATCCTGCAATACCGATTAACGAAAATCTTACATAATCGACATAGGTATATTCTTCGTGATTGTGTAGGTACGTCACCACGCCACTCAAAATACTGAAATATATATATATATATATATATATATATATATATATATACATACTGGAATCTGGAATGCGCACTGCAAGCTACAGCTAAGCGGAAAACGAGGAAAGGAGACTGCTTTTCAACGCTTCAGGGAGGCCACCTGTCTTTTTTTACTTTGTACGCATATGCCAGTGACAAGGATAGGTGGCCCTTCTGACGGCTCTGACAGCACTTCCCTATCCTTCCCTCAGTTCCCGCGCGTTTCGACCGCTAGACCGGTAGTGCGCGCGTTCCAGTATGTATATTTCAGTGTTATGAGTTAGTTTTTAAAACAACTTCTGTCTTACTTCAAAAATTTAAAAATATTGTTTGAATAGACTAAAATCTTTTATTTAATCGTAGATACGCGTACATGGTAAATCGCAGGTGTTTGCGAAGATAATAATCGTTCTCCAGTTCGCAGTAAGCATGCTAGTGGTGTGTGCTATAATTTATACAAATTGGCTTCTATTTCTTTCGTGATGATCAATGGAAGTCTCATTACACTGATATTGTATACAGCTTGCATGTTTGTCACAGATCTTTCTCTATTGCTGGTTTAGAAATGAGACTCAAATTAAAAGTACATAATTCATCTACATACATATATCATCTTATATTCACATATAAAAAAGACAATTAGATTTCTGCAACTACAAAAAAATTTTTAAATTATAAAAGTAAAAAATGGAGACAAAAAAAAGGGAGTATCATTACACAACACATAATATATGTTTCTAATGATATGCGGTGTTTTATTTACTTACAGAGCATTGGAGTAGCAAACAGCATATTATATAATATGGAGTGTCAGATGCTTGATAAGAAGATCAAAAGAGATCTCCTGTTAATCATGAGGCGCTCGATGGTCCTCATTGAATGTAATAGCGCGGTTATCACATTGAATCTTGACTCGTTTGTTAATTATGAAAATATGTTTACTTCTTCTTATAGATGTTTTAATTAATATTAAATGCATTTTAAACTTTTTTCCAGTTACTTGAAGCATCAGCTTTATTCAGCGTACAATCTATTTAAACGGTCTCAGCAGGAACATAATTGATAAATTAAGATTGTTATCATATATCACGAAGCGACGTACAAGGTATGTCAAAAATTGATGTATTTAACATACCGTTAACTAGACAATATATTAAATGTTTGCGGAAGACAAATATTAGGACATATTTAAAATTTTTGGCGTACCTATAAAAAAAGATATTAATCATATGTTTATAATAAGAAATGAAATGATAGATTAAGACGATATTACAAGGAATTTATACCAACAGTAGATATATTCAAGTAGAATTGTTATAAACGTTTTCGATATTTCTATTATTCCATATTTCTACTTGGGCTACAAATATTTATAGCCTGCGTTAAAACTGTTGATTGATATTTTATTATAGTAAGTAATATTGCAGAGAAAATAAATATATTTAAAAAAAAATTTTTTTTATAACTACCGTGCACAACTACATAACATCTTTAACTTTTCGTCTAAGAATTAAAAAGATTTTCTTACTACATTCGCTAAAGGAAGAGCAAGCGTAAAAGTCAATATTACAATACAGACAGTAGACAGTACGCCGCAACAAAAAGAATATTACTATCTAACTGAGCGTACTGACTATCAACATTAAAATTTCATTGCTATGAAGTATAGCTAACGATTCACTACGCGACAACCAAAGTATTCACTTTGCGAATAGACAGTAAAAATGTTTTGTAATGTACATACTATAACCGAACCATATTGAAGGTATGACGAATAATTGTGAAAATAGAGAATAAATAATATATCTTACTGAGGACAATTGAAAGAATTTATATATCGGTCTGTCTCTTTTGTCGTCTTCATGAAAATGTTATTGTAGATGTAGATGTGGAGTACATTATGTAATTTTCTAATAAAGCATATATATATCTCTCTCTCGAAACAATCTTGCGTCTTGGTTTATAAAAATATTATTTCTCAAGAACGTCGTTGATAGTTCCGTATTATAATGATAACAGGGATATAGATACGCGAGGGACGGAGTAGAAATATCACAATTAGAAAATCATCGAGAGATGCAATAGACATTTATCCATTGTCATTTGAGGAGACGGAGAAACAAAGATTTTACCAAATAATGTTCGTGAGAATTACTTGATCAATTTAAATTAGTCTTGACAATATGATAGACAGTTGAAGCAGACACAAATAGTGCAAATTAATCGGAAAATTTTTGTAAGTGCACTATATGTATATATAAAAAAACCATAATATTACAAACAAATTGAATAGTTAATTTTTAAAATGCTTTATGTACACTTTACAATATGCTTTACATAGTAAAATTGACTAATTAAGAAATTGCATTTTTCATCAAAAAAATATATTTTTACAATTTTTCAGTATATGATATCAAATATCTTTTTAAATTAAATCTTAAATTATAAAATATTGCTTTTTAAAGATTTAAAAAAATGCGGTATCTCTTCTTTAAATTATTAGAAGCATTCTTAACATTTTCTCTTTCCATTCTTGAAAGAGACGTATTTCGATCACGATAAACTATAATGTAATGTTAACAGCAAATTGTGTAGGCTAATTTGCATTAAAGAAAAAACTCAAATGCGCATGCTGAAATTTACACTCATGATCTGCGCGCTCGCTGGATGCTGGCAGCCGCTTACGTGGACGTCGCTGTTTAAACATATAATTTATAAGGCTTACGCAATGTTTCTGATATTCTCATTATATATATTTCTGACTTCTCAATTTGTAAACATCATATTAAACGTCGGCAACTCCGATGAATTTACCGATGCCTTGTATATGATGTTGACGGTACTTGTAGCAGGCTACAAACAGATTTATATGTGGGTAGACCGTAAGAATGTGATGGTAATAATAAATGTTCTTACTGAGAAACCTTTTGCACCATATGAAACACATGAAGTAATGATTCAAGAGAAATTTGAGAAAATGATACAGTAAGTGTCATTATAAGATTGTGTAATTAAATCAATCACTCTTCAACGAAATTCTTTCTGAGTAGTAAGACACTTTGCCTTGTGTGTTTTTAAATACTTTATACTAATTATTTAAATATTTTATACTAATTATTTATAGTAATTATAGTAATAGCTTGCAGAATTATTGTATCTATTTTATTAGTGATACAAATAATGTAAATTACATATATCATCTAATTAAAATTGTTCAAAACACATGTTTTTTAACTTTTTGTAAAATAACCAATACTTTTACAATTATAAATGCAGATAGGAAACTAAAAAATGTAATAAATATAAATAGTAATGCAGATGTAAAAAAAGAAAACAAGTTAAAAAATTGGCTATAATAAATTTTATAATTTATACTTTGTAGGAACAATACGCGGAGATATTTAACCATTGTCATGATGTCAATCACATCGATAATATGGATGTCTGTCTCCACGGATCTTATGAAAAGAAATTTGACGTATAAGGCATGGATACCGTTTGACTACTCATCTCCCGCTATATATTTTATTGTATATACTCACCAATTATTAGCCATGTCAACCTCTGGTATAGTAAATGTTGCTTGCGAGAGTTTACTTTGTGGATTCTTACTGCACATCTGCTGCCAGTTTGAAATTCTGGGATATCGATTGACAAAACTCACGCATGATCAAAATAGTCTGCGCGACTGTGTTTATCACCACAACCGTATCTTTGAGTTAGTCTATTTAAGTAGTTTTGTACTTGAAATAAAATTAATTTTTCTACAACAGCTGGAAAGACAGCAATAGTTTTCGACTTATAAAAGATCAAAGATCCAAAGATTTTCTGCATAAAAATAAAATAAAGTAATGCAAATATAGTTAACAGAATCTTTTGAATTTCTCATTGAACTTTAAGTAGAATTTGATTGACAAGGAACTAAAAGAAAATTTTTGTAAAAATAACATATTTGATAAATACTTAAATTAAATATTTAAATACTTTGATATATTTCGTACATTTCTGTAACTAAAAATAGTACTTAATAAAATTTTCATTAAATAAAGATAAATTTTAAAATAGAAAAGGAGAAAGAGGAAAATAAAAAAAAAATGTTAGAAAAATCTAAAATATTTTGACTTACCTTGCGTTTATCTCTAAACATTTATTTCTAAATATTTTGTCCTAAATAAGCAATTAAAATTAAGTAACATGAATTAACAAGTATATAGTGAATAATTTAAAAAATGCAAGAATATAAACTGAGAATTTTTAATCTAATCACAGATATGCATATACAGTGAATAATATGTTTGCGAAAATAATCGCTATCCAGTTTGCTGTGAGCATGTTGGTAGTGTGCTCGAATTTATATCGAATAGCTATGGCGGCGGACTACGTAAGCTTTATTCCATTGATGATGTATACGAGTGCTATATTAGTGCAGATTTTCATCTACTGCTGGTTTGGCAACGAAGTCAAGCTAAAAGTACATCTTATTTAAATGGATCCTATTTATATATTAAATATTATTTAAAATAGAATTAATTGCGTTGCTAAATAGGAGAGTTAACAAGTAACCTTTTTTAAGTGTCATAGGCCGATTTTTTCATTTTTTGGATTTAGATTTAAGATGTCAAAACATGATTTTTCATGTAGGCAATAATTAGTATTAAACGTGCACTTATGCACAGTGTTTCATTTTTAATGACAGAATAAAATACTTAAATCAAAATCCAAAAACTGAAAAAAATTGAATACCTATCTTGAAGCGTGACACTTGAAAAAAGTTATCTGTAAGAAAAAATATATAGGTGAGATTATGAGATACTTCTCATTAATGTTGTATAAAAAATACTACAATTTTAGAGCCTTCAATTGGTAAATAGCATTTATGACATAGAATGGCCGGCGCTCAGCAATAATAACAAGAGAAATCTCTTATTAATTATGAAACGCGCCATGACTCCCATCGAATTTACTAGCGCGTACATAATCACAATGAATCTCGAGTCGTTCGTAGCTGTCAGTATCAAACAATTAAGATAAATATTATTACTAAATATTGCAATTATTTCAGATAACTTTTAATGTATCTATAATTTTTTACAGTTACTTAAGATGTCATATTCAGTTTTCAATTTGCTGCATCAAACGCATGAATAGTAACATAATTAATAAATAGAAATTGTTAAAATGTAGAAATAAATATTAATACCTTGTTAGTATCGACAAGATAATCCTCAGATTTATAAAATTTTTATCGAGAATTTTAATTGGTGCTTCTTGAAAAATTATGATACATAAAAACACGTTTTAAAGATAAATAAAAAGTGTTAATTAAAGAATCTCATCAATACTCTTAAAAATTTGTGTTAATGCTAAAGATATGAATAAAATCATTATAAGCATTTCTGTGTATATGCATGTGTGTACGTGAGATATTTTATTTGTTCGGTGCTTTTGTATTACAAACATGCTTTGTGTTAAAATTATCAACTTTGTATTTTAGACAGCCATATTGTATTATAACACATTATAGCAATTAAAGTAATATGTATATACACATACACAAGTATATCAATAAATAAATTTTAATTTGCAGTATACCATTGATTTATGTGTGTATGGGTATGTGAGTGTATGTAACAAATATGTATTCAAGATTAAAATTTTTTTCTTACCTTATTTACGTTTACGATATAAGATAGAATAAATGTAGGAATCAATATAGAAATAGCATGTCCCGATATACATGTCAGGCCACACGCGATAGGGCAACAAAAACTTAGTAAATGTAAAACTGAGTGTATAGGCTATTGGTATTAACATTTCATAGAGGTAAACTGCAGCTAATGATTCCTTAACTGACGTTCAGAGATGTATATCCGATAAAATTGTAGATAATACAATAGAAAGAAATGTCTAATATTTTGGCATACACGTATACACGACGAAGAGTCTATATTAAAGTATTTTACAAATGGTTGACAATAACTTATAATTTATTAAGAGTTCAAAGAACTTGCTTCTCCTTATATCTGTTTTCTCTCTATCTCGCTGTCTCTCGACATAATAGTACATCATTCAATTCTCTAATAGGACATGTATATCGAAATATTTCCGCATTTCAATTCATGAAGATGTTATTTCGCGAGGTATTATTTCGTGAGATATTATTTCGCAAGTTGTACGTATGGATATTACAATAATAACGAAAATAGATATGAAGGATATGTAACGAACAGTATCATTATCAGAAAGTCTCGAGATATTCTATAGACATTCCGAGTTTCTCTCCCCCTTTCAAAATCGGCTTAATCATTTTCATTTGAGATGCGACGAGTGTTGAGACAATGCTTGTAAAAATTATATAAACAGTTTAAATAAATTTAAAAGTGAAAGGTTGAATGTAAACGTAAGTAATTCATGGTGCAAAGAAATCAGAAGAGCTTCGTAAGTGCATAATATAAATATTACATGCATATCAAAAGCTTGAAGTCAGAAAATAAAATGTTACCAAGTGATTTCGATATTGGTGTTCTTTTATAATTTATTTGTAATGTAAATTATCTTTGTAAATATAAATTTTTTTCAACAGAATTTCTATAAAAATTTGATCAAATTTAATCAAATTGAAATTTAATAATATTTTTTTCAATATTTGACATCATTTAAGCAATATTATACAATTATAATTTATGCTACAAAAAGTATACACTTATAAAATAAATAAAATATACTTTAGGCTAAATATGTACTTCAGCTAACGGCAAGCATATAACTTTGTTGAATAAATTACAAATATAATTTTAACTTTTATGGTAATTTCTTTAACATTTTTAGTAAATTTATTTTATTTCTAGTATGTAATCCTTTTCTCTAAAAGAGAAACGTTTCTATAAAATAATAAAAAATAATGTAATAAATATTATTTAATGTAAACAAAATTATATAAAAAATTTATATTAAAGAGGCTCAAATGCGGGTGCTGGAATTTACACTCCTAGTCTGCTCATTTACTGGATGTTGGCAACCGAATTCGTGGACATCGTTATTTAAACATATAATTTATAAAACATACGCAATGTTTCTTGTCTCGGCATTATATATATTTTCGTTCTCCCAATTTATGAACATCATGCTGAACGTCGAGAACTCTGACGAGTTCACCGATTCTTTATACATGATGTTGACCGTATTTGTCGCAGGCTATAAACAAGTTTATATGTGGATAGATCGCAAAAATATTATGATGATAATCAACCTTTTTTACGAAAAACCTTTTGCAGCAGGCGACACACGCGAACTTATGATTCAACAAAAATTTGAGAAAATAGTAAAGTGAGTATTATTAATTTCACGCAAAAATTTCTCACTGTTTCTTTAATAATACGTTTTCTAAATAGCAAAATATTTCATATATGTCTTTTAAATACTTTAGAACGATACTAATTATATTGTACATACATTTTGCATGACAACTTACACAAATAAATCTGTAACATATATATAACAGAATTTATTAATTTTTCCAAAAACTGCCATACTTTTCTTTAAAATAAAAGAAAAAACAGTGTTTCTATATTTATAAATAAAAAAGAGAAAATTTGATAGATTAATAATTAAGTGATAATAAAGTAAAACAAGACTTAAAAGAAAATTAGTTAAAATAATTTTCATAATCATTTTATAGGAATAGCACATTACGATACTTGATGGTCATTTTGTCGGCAATTATATCAATAATTGTGACGTCTGTATTTACGGCATTTATGAGTAAAAATTTGACGTATAAAGCATGGGTGCCGTTCAATTATTCGCATCCTGTTTTATACTTTCTTGTTTACTGTCACCAATTGATAGGCATGGCAACCTCCGGTATAGTAAACGCCGGTTGCGAGGGCATGATTTGCGGTCTTTTATTACACCTTTGCTGCCAGCTTGAAATTCTGGAATATCGATTGACAAAAATGGCAGATGACGAAAACATTCTGCGTGACTGTGTTTATCATCACAACCGTATCTTTGAGTTGGTTTCTTATGTAATTTTGTTACTTTGTAACTTTTAATAATTTGAATTATATACAATACAAAATCCCATATTCGTAACAATCGTTCCTTTAATAATACAAAAATAATTAAAGCACATACTTAACAAATTCCACACAAAGTCTTAATTTTTATTTACAAACCCTCTTTGAAATCAATTTTGGATTAATTCTTCCTTATTTATTGAACGTTTCAAGAAAGATAAAGAAACTTGATATATCTATTTTTATTATTTTATTATTAGATTCCTTAACAATCCAATTTGTATATAATTTTAAAAGTCGCTCGCGTAAAAAACTAAGCGTCTTTTATTTAATCGCAGATGTGCGTACACAGTAAATAACATGTTCGCGAAAATAATTGGTCTCCAGTTTGCGGTGAGCATGTTGGTGTTATGCTCAAATTTATATCGAATAGCAATGACAACGGATTATGTGATCTTTCTTTCATTGATGACGTATACAAGTGCCATATTGTCGCAAATCTTTATTTATTGTTGGTTTGGAAACGAACTCAAAGTGAAAGTATATATTTTTCTAAAATGGATTGACATATACATATTATACATATATATCATTAAATATAAATAATAAAAGAGATATATCATTAAAAGAAGTAGGACGAATATGACATTTCTTAATGTGCAATTATTTGTATATCGTAGAGCCTTCAGTTGGCGAGTAATGTTTTTAATGTAAAGTGGTCAGGACTTAGCAATAGCAGCAAGAAAGGCCTTTTAATAATCATGAAGCGTGCAACTATTCCTATTGAATTTAGTAGCGCGCACATAATTACGATGAATCTCGAGTCATTTGTAGCTGTCAGTATCAGACAATTCAGATAGATATTATTACTAAGTATTGCAATTATTTCATATAACTCTTAATCTACAATTTTTTTACAGTTACTTAAGATGTCATACTCAGCTTTCAACTTGTTGCATCAAACGCAAGAATAACGTGATAAACAGAAGTTATTGTTCATACTTAACGTGTTATAAAATCACGTACAACCCATCATATTTAAATACAGGATCCATACCTCATTAGTATTGACTAGATAATTTTCACGAGACTGAGATACAATTCTTATGGAAATTTTCATGGACGTTAATTTCGGTATTTGAAAAGATATTAAACATTTTAAAGAAAGATATAAAAATTGCATAAATTAAAAAGCACAGTGTTAGTATCTCAAATTTCATATTAGTACTAAAAATAAAATTGTTAGTAGTCGGCATAAAATTGGTAGTAGTAAACATTTCTGTGATATCTCCTCTCCTCCATAATTCTCCATATTCCTAATGTAATATTAAATTACAAAGATTTACATTAAAACCATTCACTTTTTATTTAAATATTCTGGTTTATTATTTAGTACCTTGGATAAACATTCTGGATTAAATGTTACAGAAGCACTAAAAAATCGTGCATATAAAGGATTAATAAAGTTACATATAAACAAATATATTTATAAAAAAAAGTTTAGTTTGGGTTACTATTAATGTAGTGTGTGCTTGTCACGATCAGCGGCGCATTTTATTGTTTTTATGGATTTCATAATGAACTTCATCTTTTAAATGCTTTGTCAATTTGCATGAGTCTGTAAGCATGAATGCCCGCGCGCGCGCGTGCGTGCGTGTGATGTGTGTGTGTGTGTACGCACTACGCGCGTCCGTGCAATATAATAGAAGAACGCAATATGATATACATCATATTTTGTCATAAATATATAATAATAAAGAAACTATACTGATATATCGTGAAAGTAATTGAAGACTAATAATTTATTAAACACAATTCAAAAAACTTATTTCTTCGAATATATTTATTTTATTTTTGTACTGCTATCCCTCTCTTATGTAGTAACCCATTATGTAAAATAATGGGTTATTACACGATTTTTCAAGAAAATATGTATATGTCTCCTAAAGAGACACGTTGTATCTTTATTCATGAAAATATTATTTGGCACTTATCGATGCAGTATTACACTAATAATCAAAGTAAAGATGAAAATTTGCAGAAGGGATAATAGATAATATCCCTACTGAAAAATCACGAGAATTATAAACATTCAGAATATCGATCCCTTGTAAAATTATCTATTTGTGTTTAAAACAAAAATTTACTTACCTATTTTTTCTTTTAAAAAATTGTGTGTACGTTTAAAAAATTATAGCTTTGCAAATATTTAGAGATAAGTAGATTATTAGACCATGTGAATTGCAAGAAATAATAATTCAACAAAAATTAGAATAAATAATACAGTAATGTACATATACTTATGTGCATATATATAATATTTGACTCATGTTTTAAATGCATTTATCTCACAATTTATATGAATGCTTTACATTTATAACTATAAATTGAGAATGTTTCTAATTTTTATAAATAAGAACATTTTAAGTATAATAATCCAACAAACCAAAATCCAAAATATATCCCAAAAAATAAAATAACGAGTAAAGTTTGATAAATAAATAATATAATAATATAATAATATGATAATTGTGGTCATTTTATAGGAATAAAACGGTATTTAACTCTCGTGGGTATACTGAGATCATTGCAGTAATTTTGTCATCCACCTTCATGGATCTGACAAAAGAGAACTTCATATACAAAGCATGAATACCATTCGACTATTCAATTCCTGTTATATTTACTCTCATGTATATACACGAACCAGATGATAGGCATGTCAATCTCTGGTTTCACAACCGTCGCTTGCAAAAGTCTATTTAGTGGACTCTTACTGCACATGTATTGCAGTTTGAGATATTGGAATACCGATTGAAAAAAATCAGTGAGACTCAAAAAATTCTGGGCGATTGTATTAATCATTACAATCATATACAGTTAAGTTAGTTTTTTTAAATATTTTTTTAAAAACTAACAAAACTTCTTTTATTTTTTAATTTAAAATATGTACGCATAAAATGTTACTTTTTGCGTAATTATTATGGGATTAGATAGTGTAGTAAATAAGAATAACATCGTGTATAATTTAATTTACTCGTCACAGATTTATGTTCTATTAATTTACGACAATTCTTGATTGATATTATTTCACTAAATAGATCCAACATGACGTACAAAAGATAAACGCAAACATTTTTTAAATATTAGATTATTTCAGTAGTCTCTTGAGGTATTCTAGTTCATTTATAAATCTTAATTCTAAAATAAGTAAATTAATCAATAGTCTTCGTTCGTTTCCGTAAACTTTTTTCACATTAAAAGACAAACACACAGTCAAACACATTCACACATAAATACACACATTACGTTTAAACAATTACTGAGTCTCCAGTAATAAAAAAGTGAGCGTTAATTAGACATAAAATATAAATTCATTTTATCGTCTATATATCGTATTTTAATGATATGATCATTACAATATTATTATTATATCATTAATTATATTATTAATAATAAATATACGCATTCATATAATCCTCGTTCTTTTTTCTTTTGTAAAAGTTCAAAATTGTTGTTAATACTAGAACGACAATTATAGCTTGTTGAACAAAATTTTTTTGTTCGTATCTTTGTAAAAATTACGTTTTTATTTTTCCTTTGTGCAAAATGTGTTTAATAAGTAGTTCCTGATATTTTCACGTATATCAGGGTAATTTCGCCAGTTAACAAAATAATACAAAATAAAATTTATATATTTGTAGTAGTTCATATTTCTTTGTACACATGTATAACTGATCACAATAGTAATCATACGGAAGATATTGATGGATCACGGTGAAATGGAAGCGTAATCATTACAATATCTGCAAACGTCATCGTTCCTCCAGATTCAATTTGTAGATTGGTTTACTGCTAAATTTATTGTTCATGGAAATGGTATTGGTCCGGACTTGCGTGTACTTTGGCCTTTTGTCTCGCGTGCTCCAATGGAGATAACTATACCATCCCGCTACCAAGGCGCCTAATCCGTTGCAAATGCACGAGTAGATGAGGAGGATCGTCAGGATACTTTCTACGTCGGGACAATTAAGGTCTATGTACCTGGTAAAATATAGTATCACTTTACATATATTATACATCGGTGCATTATTAAACTTATTTATGCTATGTAATATAAATTCCCGATAAATGGCAAATATAAATGAAATGTTTTTTATAAAAATTGCTCTCAGAAATGTAATATACATGTATACATTACAACTTTTGCGATTTTTTAGATGCTCTGAAAAATGTCACAGAATTTTGTCAATCTATACTCAATTTTTTGGCCATACCTGACTGCACCTTCGAGCGAATCAGGCGGCTCGCCGCGTGGTCTGCATACGCACGTGGCATTCAATACTCGTGCCGGAGTGCATTCCAGTCCCATGAGACGTGACAAGTGCATCGCGGAGAATATGCACGCACTCACACACGCAATGGTTGCCAGAATCGCCAAAAATACGCTAACTATCTGTTTGTGAAAAAAAACGTGATATAAGGCATTAAGAAACATTAAGAGAAAGTGCATATAATATTTTTATACATAATTTTGTCAATAATAATATTGAAAATAGAACAAAATAAAATAAGTCAAAATAAAATCTAAATTAAATTGATATTCTTTCGCAATTAAAAGTTTTTAAATTAATTATTAATCCGGGAATATGTACTATTGTAATACTATATAATAAATATTCATATTGTACTACTCTAACAATGCAAAAACTTATCATTAGAGGATGATGTGAGTAATACGTGGCTCGGCCTTGAGAGATTTCTCTAAGAAATCTCTATAATGAGTCAGAATTTTTACGTACCTTCGTGGCGGAAAGACAAAATCCAGAAGTCAAAGTCGGATATTCTTTTCTAAAACAGCACAGAAGGCAAATTCCGAAGCTCCCGGACATCAAGAGCTAGAAATACCGAGATAAAAGATATTAAATGATTAAACACCAAGAAAATATTGTGAAGACGAAATGTTAATATGCATGCCATACTTACGCGTTAAAAATTATATAATTTTATTTCTTACAAATTACATATACAAATTATGTAAATATAAAATAGAAAAGTGTATTGTTAGCAAAATGATCTTATTGTTAAGAAGATAAAACATTACTTTTATTGCATACTTACCTTTAGTTAGTTAAGGGTTAAGCTTTCAAATAATGTTAACTTATATAAAAAATCCATAAAAGTGTCGAAAACCATTAAAACCGTTAAAACTGATGCAGTTGCCAATAAATAACCATCAGCCCCATGCAATAAAGTAATCACTTTAAAACTCAAACTATCACATGCGACTAGAGTATATCAAAAGTGATAATACCCATATCCCTATTGTTTAACAAGCATGATTATGTCATTTTATAATACATATGTAAGCCTAATTGCGGTCATACATTAGTACATCCATTCTAGCAGACTCAGCTTGTTAGATAAGCGAGGATTGTCATTCTGTATTAATCTTGCATCGTCACGGTAAAGAATGCAAATCTAATCGCCGATATGAAATTATTGCACTTACGGGCATGCCACTCCAATACGGATTGTCCATGACTGGCAGGTGCGGTGTCCAAAGCAGCAACCATAACGACAAGGAAATCACCGCGACGCCGAGGATAGCCTGAAATGCCGCCAGGCAACGGGCTAATCGCCGATGGTAGATCAAAGGAGGTAAAAACTTCTCTGGGCCTAAAAATATAAACCTACTTTTTAACTCTCGTACTACCATATCGCTTTCGTAATACCGCGTGTACGATTAGTACATAATTATCGCTGACAATTTATTACAAATTTACTCAGAATTCGTGGCTGTGTCGATGATTTACATTCTAAATAATCTTCGCAATAATACTCAGCATACTTTACGCTCTGCATAAATTTATTTATTCTAAAAGTATGAAATAATATCTCACGGACAAAATAGAAGAGTTATAGGTCACTTTTAAAAGTAAAGATTAAGATAAATTTGAATATAAAGAAAATAAACCGTCATATTGTCGTCTTTATCTTCTATACCGCGATTCACATCCTTTCTTAGTCATCACTGTGGGATTATTCCCCGGAGCAAAAGTCGATAATTTCGCAATGCAATTCGCCACATTGCATCCGTTACGGACAATTTGCTGACGCAGATCTCTTAAGCTAGAGAGTCGAGACATGGTTGGTTGCTTATTAGGTAATTAGGTAATTCGACGTTGCGAAGACAGGCACGCGCCATATTCATCCTTCGCTACGACACACATTTCCCCATAGTGTAAATGGCCGATATCCCGCGGTATCGAGATACTTAAGTCTGCGAAAGAAAGGAGAGTTCCCGTACAGGGTGGCCTCGCCGCCGTCCCACCTTACAAGGCATCCTAACCGGTTAATGAATGATTGAACGCAGCGTCCTTGCCATATCGAATCGCCAGGAAACTCGCCTACTATCGTCGTTTACGCAAGATCCGTGAGTGTTTCTCACCAGGATATCGGACAAAAACACGAGCAATCACTGACCATCACAGTATTTCACAATGATATGTAAATAATGGTCTCATGCTGAGTTTAGGTAAACATATATAAATATTTTAAATTAGTCTCTTTTATTTATAAAAGACTACGCAATTATTATATAAAATATGATACTACTAAATAACATTCTCCACCAATTTGTCTGTATCCTTCGATTGGTCAATAACTTTTATTGACACCCTATACATCACTAAAATTAAATTTTTTAATTATTAAGAGGAAAATTTTATATATGCATATATATTCTTTTCATTTCATTAGACATATCGAATTGATTTAAGAGCTCATTCCATATACTTCAGTATATAATTTAAAAAAATTATAATTGTAAAATAAGTAACATTTTTTCAAAATATTTTGCGCTTAAGACGCTTAAGAATACCTAATAATAATAAAACTATTAGTAGTTATCTTATATACTAATTAACTATTATAGATAAGACGTATCGAGTCTAATGTTCAATTTCTTCACCGCCACATAACTCAAATAAAATTACTCGGGACATTCTTTCTTATCAAATCATAGAGTACGTAATATAGAAAAAATCTAGAATCAGCTAATTCAAAATTAGGACCGACGTCAAAGAAATTATAAATGAGTTTAATTCAACACTATAAATTCTTTATCGTAATAAAAGCGGATTTTCGTGAATAATGAATCAGTATTTACAGATTAAGCAAGAGAAACACTTTAAACTGTACGATTAGCGCAGTATAGTGACACCAACGTAGAACATACTGTCAAACGACGGTATGAGGAAGAAGCGAGTATACTATGACCGCTATTGAAAAACCGCAAGAGTGAAGGGACGAATGCATCATGTTTGCTGAATACGCTGCGCTGAATACTTGTCTGAAGAAGTCTAGTACGCAAACTTGTACCTCGGTCAAACATAATCCGATTAATATCCTGCTCGAGGCGAAGCAGCGGTAATTAGGCAAAAATGAGAAAGAAAGAGAAGAAAAGAAGAGAGTTCTCAATAATTGACTCAACTATATTGATGATTTCTAAAAAATTACATGATTAACTCTGTTCTACTCGCGTGATTTTTCTTATTTATTGTTGTTATTCTCTTTAATAGTTTATAATTAAATAAGAATAGATAATAGAATAAAGAATATAAATATCTAATATTATCCAAATTTCTTTGTGAAACTCTATTGTCGCGTATGTGCAAGCACACATACATACTTGAGACAATCACTCTCTATGAGACCAAGTCAGTATTTTTCAACTGTTTTGGTGTCGCGACATACTTTGAAGCGAGGAAGGTGATGGCGAAGGGGACCAACGACGACGTGTAATAGACATAAAAATTTTATTTTTCTGCATTTAAGAAAGCAAATTTCAAGATAAGGATTCATAGGAGATAAAAATTGCTGGTATTTAGTATCTCTAGCAATATTGTGTGATTAACTGCCATGTTAATTGACTTATACTAACGTTCATCATTGTTAAAATACAATTTTTGTTGTAGCTCAAAATTCCCCAATTTTTTGTCTTCGTACTGATGTATATTGACCTATCCCAATGTCCACAGATACTGGTCGCGGATGCATTTTATTATGTCACGCGCGTGTAAAAGAGAAATTCCTTTGCAGCACCCACACAGAATTTCAATCTCACGATCGTCGCTGGTTGCCAATCCGTGGAGGATACGATACGTGCTTTCTATATCGGAAGTGAAAAACAATTTTCACTCGCGGAAATGCAATGCGCGCACCTGCCACGTGAGGATTACGTCTCTAACTGTACTGCAGGATACGCGCTGTAACTGGCGAACGAGGCAAGCTGCAACTGGGGAATGTAAATGTCCGCACACTATAAAAAAGACGGTCGTAATCCGATAAAAATAAAAGCCGTACGTAATCGCAGTTTTCACGCGCATAACGTAAATTTCAGACTTTCCTCCCGTAAAAAAAAAACTGCATAATCGGACCGTTTTCGACGTAACGGGCGACCATACCGCAGCCGTTAAGTAGCGGATATTGCTGCTCCTTTGAGAAGCGCGAGTCGCACGGGTGCGGGAATGCAGAACATGAATACGTGTTGTTTCGCATTGTGTATTGCCTCGCCATATGTACGCCGTATTTGTTGCACAATGCGAGAATATACCGCGCGCGCGATGCGGGTATAAAAGAAGAAAGGGCCGTACCACCGAGATAAAACGGCGACAACGACCGACGAGATGAATCGTGCACGCACTTATTACCGTTAATTCAACATCAATTCGTCGCCGATACATCGCCAATGTGAAAATGTTCAGTAGCTCAGATGAGATTCGTAATGCTTGGTGTATAATTCACCGGTTACAGTAGACAATAGGTGACAATAATAGCTGAATTTCTTGAAGTTAATTAAAATTGTGAAAGAGTCGAGAAACAGTTAGAATTTGGTACAATCGACTCACATATATATATATACTACAATGCATTCACCGCGTAAATTCCCAACTACCGGTAATTTGTCTTCGTTCACATCGGGTATCGGACACGTCGACTACGTAAATAGGCTGGTTTATGTAAATGTGAACGTAAACGCATACCTTATATACACGAGATAACAATGAGAGTTGGTCCTCGTTTATACGTCGCGCCGTCACGGCCGGCAAATTCGCCGTAAAATGTGCGGCCCACGTACACGCATATAACATACGCGTAGTGGGTGGTACGTTTTCATCATCCGTTGTCCCCGATGCATGGATAATTCTAACGATGTAACTTGCGTAAAAAGGAACGACCGCAGGTTAATTGAGTAATTGCACTGTAATTTTAATAACTGCGACGGCTGCTCGTAAGACGTATATAATTCCAAAGGTCAACGTATTTGGCAACTGTTTCCAATTTCTGTCACGTCACAGGCGAGAAATTTATTAATATAAAAATTTTATATATATAAATAATTTTTACATCACATATTTTAATTGATTAATATATACGTTTAAGCGTTGCATTGTCCGCTGGAATTATCGTAAGCTGTGTTATTTGAAATTTAATTTATTTTTAGAATAACAAGGAAAATAGCATGATCGTTCGACTACTCGGCGTCACGAATCTAGACGAAAACCAAATGCGGATTATGTGTGTAAGGGCGAAATTGGGCGTAAGAATAGCGGGTCGGGTTTGTAAGTCTGCCCGCCGGTCCCGAAATAGAATTAGGGCGACGTATATGCCAAGCATACGAGCCCTTGAATATAGAGCAGAACGGAATCACGGTACGTACGCACTTCATCAATTTAGACCCTTCGTCGTTCGCACGTGTCGCTTGTATATATCCTCACAAAGGTAACGGAAACGATGCTTATTGTTCACGTAGCGCGCCATTTCTTTGCTTTAATTAGTATTTGAATATTATCGGTATATATATGAGTTTGAATATTATTGTAGAAATTGGAAGTTTATATTTACTTAAGAGATTGTTAGATATAACAAAGGTTTATAATTTTATCCAATACGTTTTACGATAAGAAAGTTTAGCTTCTTATGATTCGCAGGAATAATTTTTATCCGTTAAAATGAAGAAGTTTTAAAATGTTGCGTTTTTGCAAGTATAATGGAATTACGGTAGGGTAATTAATTTGCGGTATGTACAAAGCGAGACGGTTAAAAAGTACAATGAATTCTTTACATTCGCGCGCCGAGATGAGACCGCGCACGTATTTCGAACGCGAACCAAAAAGATCACGCAATATATTTCCGGCTCGGTACTTCCGCTATCTCTGCGGAGAACCATGTGCATTCACTTTAAAGTATGTTCTGTGGCCAGCGGAGCAAGAAACGTTTAAAACTCAGTGAAATATATACGCTAGGGTAACTGAAGAAAAAAAAGAGTAAATCTTCTTTCTAAAGGAATGAGACGATATACGAGTAGTTTTAGCAGAATATGCAATAAAATCCAATATTTCGTGTTTCTTCAACCGTATCGTTTCAAGAGAATTCTCTTTCTCTTTTTACTTTTTTCAAACAAAAAATTGTATAATGTGCTACAATAATTTCCATAAAATAATTTTACACATCACATATGTACATATATCGCGCGAAACACTGCCTTGTATTTTTTGATATTGGTGTGTTAAGCCTTTAAATAAAATAAGTTTTTATGTATAATTTTAATAAAAAATATCTAATAAATTATAATACTATTAATATGACAGTTGAATACAGTAATCGAAGACAGTAAACCAATTGATAAAAATAGAATTTTAAGTAATTTTTAAGGTAAAATTTTAATAGAGCCACTAAAGTCTTTTAATTTTATAATATTTTTAATGCAATATAATATTTTACACTTTTACCATCTTTAAATATTCTTTATACATATTCCTCCATAGTTACAGGTGTAAGTGTTCCCTCAACTTCTGTATTCCTCCCCTTTAAAAGCGTCCATCCTTCTGCGCCTTACAATTTCATCACCTCTAACTCTTTCCATTAACTAGGTACCATTTGCTCCGTGCATTTTACTCTATCTAATTATCGCGGTGATAAAAAGCCGCTGCACTTTCCTGCAGTCCGCGGCGGCGCTAATTATAATCTTCCTGTCTGCCTTGGCATCAACCTCAATCCTGCCGGCCGACCTGCGGCGATGGGTATTAAAAGCGACAGTCGCGCGTTCGTTAGCGCAGAATTATACATATATAGCAGTGCTATAATGTGTCGCGCGGAGCAACGAGACGGTTATTGAAAGAAATCGAGAAAATCGAGTGACAACCGGGCTGGTCGCATTCCGCGGCCGAGAAGCGATTCGCGGCCTTGCGATTCGCGGCCGTGCGATCTCGCCCTCCGGAGAAATCGATCGCATCGCCGCCGATAGCAAAAAGCTGATAATCATATAATACACGCATGATTTTATCGGAACGATCGAGAAGAGCGCAGAGAATTGCCACTCTCCTCGCTTTGCGGTACTTCGATCGCGCGTGCTCTTGGGTACAGATATTTCGAAACGCTCGCCTAGATTCTTTTAAATTCTTGTAACTTTTTCGCTATGGTAATATTCGCATATTCGTGATACAATAACGAACAGACAAATTATTGCGTTCTACTAATTAAAAGCCGGAAAATCGCTTGGCTAGGTGCATGACGTACAAATTACTCATAACTCGTAATACTTTTTAAAGATGTTTGAAGAAATTGACTATGTTTAAATGTACACAAGATAAGAAATAAAAATATGAGTTTGAAAAATTAAAGGTATATTAATTTTTTTCGTATTGCGTTCTAATTGCACATGCCACGATTAGAAAAATACAAAAGGAAGCTTATACAGAGTAAGAAGTTATTGTGTACTCACGATGGCCGGTCCGATTCATCACTATCATCCTGCTGTGCCTTAAAGAGTTTCTCGTGGGCGTATGTCGACCGGCTATTTGAGAAGCTGCCAGATTGACAGGAACCGTGGTTGATAGACAGTTGGCCATCGATGGTGCTCGACCGAGTTCCTTCTCTTTGTCACCGCGGCTAATACGCCCGATGTTGCCGGTCGACACTGCACCTGTCGACAGTAAAACATTCAGCAAAAAGGTGCCCAGGTGCGAAGTATCTTTATTGCACCGTTCTCTATCTTGTCCCGACGTTCAATATTTCAGAGAAATATATCTCAATATATGTAGATATCTCGCAAGCAAATGAATCAGTTCTTACACATATGGCAATTATGTATGATGTCATAAAACTCGATTTCGCTTTCACATTTCAAATCCGCAATGACTTAATTATTATTTACGCGTGCGTATACTACGTTTATTTTATTCTTTATGAAACTACAAGATTATATGTACAGTAAAAAGTTCAGAGAAAATACAGTGCCCGTCGATGACACTTGCAAAATCTTTGTACATGGTTTTTATTTTTTATAAAAATTATTATATATGATATACTGTTATACAAAAGATATAATGTTTTTTAAATTCTTTATTGTTAAAAGGACATGTGTAAAAGTTAACCTAATTATTGCATATTCACAGTCCGCGCCAAAATACGCACAACTTTCTTAGTACGCACAATCTTGGCACGCACGAACATAGCTGTCACGAAAAACAAGTACCATGGCACACACGAGAATTCAGGACGATAAGGTTTCGCGGACTGGTAACATCTGAAGTAGAACAAACGGGTCAAGCTGGCACGAGAGATTAGCACACGGTGTATATAGGAAAATAATGCAGATAATTTAATCCCAGTTATTCATTACTGATTTTCATTTTGTAATTTCGTTAACTTTATTACTTCGAGATTAATTAAGTTTATAATTATCATCTAGGAGCAATTCAGAACTAATTTATATTATTATTCCTATTGTTTTAAGTTAAGTATGTTGATTAATAAATGTAAAATGTGTAAGCGGAAAGCGCTCGAAGCGAGTCAACTTGACGAATGTATAAGAAACTACATATCGATCATCGCACTCTCGCACGTATGTACGCACACACGCAGGAAGCGCATCGTAAAAAGTGCATTCAACTCACCCGTGACTTTGGCAGGGTGAATCTTCGATACGTTGCCCACGCTAACGGCGTTACTGACTCTGTTGTTGTTGTTATTATTGCTACTATTAATGCTATTATTATTGTTGTTGCTCTGAGATACGACGGACGTGTCATTGCCATCACGAACCTGGTTCAAATTGCCCACACTCATGGTGGAAGTGACGCAAGGCGGCATCACCGGCACGTCCTGCGGGATCGAAAAAACGATCGTGTTAATTTTTGACAAATAATTTCTGCCACTCGAAAAAAAGGCCGAGTTGTGTTTCAAAAAGTCGAGAAAATACAGTCGAGAAGAATCAAACGCGATAGTCAATATTAAAATTACTATGAGTGTGAGACAATTAGCGAGTTTGTACAATTCTCTTCTTTTCATCAGTGTTTAGAATTTAGAATTAGAACTATTATTCTAAATGTAAAGGTTTAAGTATATATAATTAACCACAAATAGTTACAGGGATACCGTTCATTTCGGATTTGCGTCACAGTTTAAATATTAAATATGGAAAAAATAAATTAAAAACTTTTATATTAAAAATTCTGCTTTTAGATACAGAAGAGAAGAGTCATTTTCTCCTTCTGACGGTATGAAGTACATTGTACGGAACAAATGTCTATTATCGATGTTAAAATGTAAATTTATGATGATTTGTGCACGGCGAGTATATCTAGATAATAAATATTGATTAAAACCAAGAATCTAATTACATACTAGTATGAAACGTTACGGTTATGCAGCTCCGGTATTTTTAACTTTTTTGTTAGATGCTTTTACGTTTTTCTTAGATGCTGCTAACAGAATATTTGTAGTGATGTAAGGAGCACAGTAGACATTTTTCAGCTATTCTTTCTTAAATTCAAGTAATTAACGGTAACAACGGTTGTAAACTATAATCTTTCGTGTAACTTTGTTCTGATATGTGATGCTACCGATAGTATTGCACAGAGGCTATTTTAAATTATTTATATTTTATGCTATACATAGAATGTCTAATAGAAAAACTGCAATTCTTTTGAGTTACAGATACTGCATTTCAGATTCGATCCTTTCAATTTAGAATTACCTACACTCTCTTACTGTCTTTGCATTTCTATAGTATTTAACCCCCGGACACTTTAAAGAAGGAAACTTTAAATTAACACTTTGTTAAAACAAAATCTATTACATATTTTCACTCGCGTTTATTATTTTAGAACCTGTTGACGCACCGAAATTTTTGTAATTCTCATTTCCTGTTTACGCAATGATTCTATAGGGTATAATTTCCGCTACTCCAAAAGATACATAATTGGATCGATGATTAATGCTGGTCACGTTACACTGGCGCACGCGAAGATTCTCACAATGACACACGTGAAACAGAAACACGTGAGTGAGGGACTCACCTTGTAATTGTCGTAAAAGCTCACCGGCCGGCTCCTCGGCGCGTACTGAATCTCTTCGTCGGTCTGCATCGTGTTCCGTGTGACAATATTCCTAAGGGATGCGCGCGCAACTTGTAGGACGTCCTCCGTAGGTCACTCTCCCTTCTTCCTCCACTTCCGGCGGATCTGCTAAGGTGAGCATGGACGGCATGACGACACGTAACGAGACCATGATTAAAAAGTAGCAAATTAGCACCGTAATACGTAGTTACGTGGTAATCTCAAGTGCGCAAAAAAAATTATGTAAATAAGAATTGTGTTTCGCACTGCCTCAGTGGAATGATTTGCTAACCGCACTGTGAAAATATTGTGTTACTTCGGCCTTCGGCTATATTTCTGTTGTTAATCTATTTATACAGGGTGCCCGACAAGTTATTGACCAATCGAAAAATGAAGGTAGATAGGGCCAAACTGAAAAGAAAAGTCATGTGCCTATTTGCTCAGACGTTTTAATTAATTACTCAATAACTATTGCAAATTTTGCAAAATGATGCATAATTTTTTTTTTCAATTTGATTATATTTTCACCTTTCGATTGATGACTTGTCGGACATTCTGTATAATTAATGAATATAAAATTCCTAACAATATTTTAATAATTTTTTATCCGATTTTATTGTATAATTCTTGTTTGACATTTAGCACTAACATTTATTTCGTGATACAAACGACCAATATAGCTTTCGAAATTATAAATGTTTATCTGTTTATTACTCGAATGTTTTTGTCAGCCTAAAGAATGGTTCGTGACAAATGTCATTTCCATATTGCGCAGAAATTTTTTGCTCTTCCGCATATCTGAGTTTAGTCCTTCACATCAAATGTAGTTGATGACTCATAGATTGCCAATTGCAAGCAATTTCGGAAGGGAACTTTCTTCTAATCCGGCCCGACACGTCGTAAGTCACGCGCCGGCATCTCGAGGGATGTGCTTGTGCATAAAACAGGGATGATCCGGCATCTCTGAGACGAAATAGAGGGTCTATGATTTTCTTGACGCTCGTGGTCCACGTGCTCGATCACGTGCGTGGCGCATCCGTCACCCCATAAATGTCCGGAAAATTGGGAAAGATTGCTCGCGCGAGAGTAGCTTTGAACGGCATCGTTTATTTGAACAGATCGTTTATCTGACGAATGACTAAACTCCTACCCTGAAAATATCCGATTACTCTCATACGTATCTAAATAAATCATTTTAAATAGGTACATTAGATAGGTGTACATAAATGTGTAATTTTCTTTGAAGATAACCAAGTTAAATAATGCGTCAAGTAATTTTAAATATTACTTTTGAAAAATATATATATTATATAATCGTATTATTTCATAAAAATGAGTCATCTTGTAGAATTCGTTATCATTTAGCGATAAATACAACAAATAAAATGTCCCACATTTTCTATTCAATTCTATTCCTCGTGAATGAGGAAACATGATATTCATATAGGTATTACTTTTTCCTATTCAATTTATCAATATAATTACTGTGTTACGATGATATAAAAACAGAATTGCCATAACAGGTATGACAATAATAAAATGAAGGGAAATCCATAAGAGACTTTGAGCATCATTTTGTAAACAATTCTCCGAAGTATTATACTAGATAGCGTAGAGGGTTTCGATCTTACGGAGATCGCTTTATCTTCTCGAGCTACCTCGAACCATGTCACTATTTACTAAAAAAAAGACGATATTTCTTCTGGGATCCCCGACGCAAATTATGTTAAGGCGGTCTCGGCGTTATGGCTTCCTCGGTTTCACGAGACTTTTAAGTGCTGATGAAACTTTGATTCCGGCTTAGTCGCATGATTTCCCAAGCCATTAGCGCGAGTGATACTTCATGTCCGGTTAATGCATTTCTGGGTACCGCTTGAATCTACCTTTCAGAAAAGTATGTAAAAGTGTGTCTTTAAGTTTTTACTGTTTCGACAAGTAAAAAATGACGATTGAACAAGAATTATTTTAGAAATTGCTTTATGCTTATTTCTTACAATGTTAAAAATTTTTAACAATATTTAATATTTTTAATTTATCTAAGTATCAGCGAGGAAAATAATTTTATTTATGAATTATATGGATAAACCTGGATGCTTTTGTTTTTACCTACAAAGAAGAATATTTTAAAAAGTAAATATATAAAAATGAACATGCTAATACAATCAGCAACAAAAGCAATCTTCTTTTCTTGAAAATATTAGATATGAGAATTTGACACACGTCATTTTAATGTTCATAATTATTTTATTCCAGCATAAAATGTTACGTTCAACTTAAAATCTTTTATTTGATTCCTTATAGATTCCTTATAGAATCATAAAAGAACAAATACAATGAAAAAATTACTACCTAATATTAAACACTTTCACGGATCTTACGTGTTTCTATAGATCACAGAAAACTTCTAACATTTTCCATGCACACGTCGAAGGTATGGTGCACTTAAACCTCCCATAAAAAAACCCTCTGGATTATGGTGCGGCGCATTGGAATGCAGCAGCTCGTCGACACTCGATTTCGTTCGCAGCTATATGTCTGTTCTGAGCTCACGCGGCACGTTTTCTTATTATATGCAAAACATAGCCTTCGAGAGAGCAGCAAAAGTGACGCTCAACGAAAGTATTCAAGGTTTTGCTTCCGCAAGAAGAAAATTAAATGTAAAAAGAATCCGTGATCATCGAAAGCCTAGTAGAAGACTAAAGAAAAAAGGGTTAATTATTTCCCGTACAAAGTCTTTACCGTTGCTGACCTACGAGAATGTATCGGTATAAATAGATAAGGGAATAATGCGACGGATTTTTGACGCGTTATCTCTTGACTTGTCGAGTCAGCCAAAACTTACGGTGCAAGAATAATTTAAATTCTAATATATATACGTCTGTTGGTATTATTTTATGCATACAGGGCAAAATCATATAAAAGAGATACAATTCAAGATTATAAATCTTAAGAAATATGTATATATAGAAATATACGTGTAAGAAATCTTTATCAACATTTCTTTATTTATCAAAAACTCAAAAACGTAATTAATTATTATTTATTTATTATTTGTCATTTCTGCAGAAAATCGCTGATGTCTTTTGATGCTATTCTGAATTGTAAAATATGATAAGGATTATTAACATTTTTTCATGAGAAAGAGCTTGCAAAGCATACTTAACATGAAGAAATAGAAGAGAAGCAACTAGACTGAAGGACAAAAGGCTAGTGTGAGCATCGCCTAAGAGGGCTTAATGGAGAAATAACTTATTTCCAGCCATATAATCCACACACACGAGTCTGTCGTAGATAGGTCACACTATTGCGCAGGGACTTAAACAGTTTGCTACTAGGTAGTGATTATCGCTGGCATTTCCATATTATTGATCTATTGCCGTTGTGAGGATTCTATTGACGATATGAAAAATTGACGCTGATAATGACAATATTTGCACGGTTATTAATAGCAATCATGCGAGGGCTCAGTAACCTCCGCGGCTTTATTGCCTTGCGTATATTGCGCAATGGCGCATTAACTTGAGATCTTACGCTGTGAAAGTAAAACCCCGTGCTCGCAGAGCTTCGACAAGTATGACCACGACGTCGCGCACCGATGATCAGATAGGAAAAAAGGGAAGAAAAAATCTTGATCACGTAATCACCAACTGTCGCGTATTGAGTGTCACTTGTCTATTGTCTGCTACGTGCAAAGGTGTGATACAAAAGTACAACTATTATAATAGCATATGAAAGATAGTATTAAAACAATTTAAATGATAGGTAATTATAATTAAATAATAATATAAATTGATCTGTACAAGAGACAATTTGAAATTAAAATCAAGTTTTACTCAAAAAGAATAAAAGGTGACTCTCCCTTTGATACAGATTTAATTTTTTGATTTTTATATAAAGAGAACAAATCGCGATAACGTACATTTTGTGACAAAAATCCTGGTGTTAAATTTATTTTTTAAGTAAATACATTTGCGTGTGTAAGAATTTATTTACTGATGATTGTTTATTTACATACGTCGTCTTCGAATCTTCGTATCTTAAGATTCTATTTTCGTATTACCTCGGTACCATAAATCTGATTGTGAGTGCCAAAATACAAAGTATATCATTATTATTATCAGAAGAATATTGAGCAAGAGCGAGTTTAGTTCGCAAAATTATATAGCATGCAAGATTGCGTTTATTACTTTAAAATTAGATAAAATTAGATAAAATGCAATCTCAAAAAGACAAAACAAGATATAAAAACATATAATTTGCAAAATTTACAAATATATAAACATTTCTAAATGTAATGCATATTAAAAGTTCACAACAAGTAGTTTGGAATTTAATATATTGTAAATATCTACGTTTATCTGTAATTTTATTGTACTAGTTATAAAAGATTCTTTTATCACTCCATGAAATCATCTTCCATTATTTCTTTACGGCGTGATGTAAAGTAAAGTCATAAATTAATCACTTTTCGGCACTCCAGGCCAAAAGTATTCAGTCTCAAGATCCCTATGTAAAGTAGGTATATAGGCTACTGACGTAATAAAAGCGCGCGATAGCATGCGATTGCTGCAAATGCAACAGCTTCCCATGAGAACGGGAGAAAAACGATTATGCAAGAAATGATCGGACTAAACGATCTAGCAAAAAGGGCTTCTTCGCATGCGCGACAGTAATAATCAATAAGTGTCGCGAAAACGACAGTCATCAAAGTGATAAAATATCATGTTACTTTTTCATTCTAAAGAACAGTATTCTTCGTATATATGTATAAGTATTCTGAAATGTATGTATAATGGGACTATTATATTTCTAACGTCATTGCTACGTGATATAACAGTCGCGTAACACCTCGACTGTTGCTCATCATTAATTTTGTTTCTGAAAACAAAAGACCAAAAATGTAATTGGCATTTTTATCGGTAGAAATTGATGATCACATGCAAATTACAATACATATATTTATTTGATGGAATAAAATGTATTTCTCTCATTTTTTAGCAATGAGGAAGCCCAAGTAATAAATATTTATAACGTAAATTTTAGCTGTTTATAATTTATAAAATTTTTATAGTTCTATAAAAAGAAAAATCTTTACAATTTTTATGCTAAGATAAAAATTTAATTCATTTAATTTAAACTTATTTAAATATATTTTTATTTATATACTTATACTCTTCTGTTTCTTTTTATTGCTCCATCTAATAAGTGGCTTATTTTTATTATCTTTTTTATAATTGGATGACACGTGTGTCAATAAATTGCGAGAAGTATGTGACCTTGAAATCATCCGCCTCAAGTGTTACCTATAATTTACATTTATATGCGAATATTCATAATTTACATTAACATATGGTGCCCGGAAGCGTATTCCATCGCGATAAAGTTGATTGGAAGTTATTTGAAATATTGATTTTATTGTATCAGGCAGAATTAAATCATAGTAAGAGCGAGAGAGAGAAAGAGGGGGGGGGGCAAAATCAAGGTAATGTGATCAAATTGATCCATAATATATTTTTTTTGTTCTTATTGATTTTTTTGACAAAAATTAAATAGCTACATATAAATACATGTTCATGATCAAGAAATTAAATTAAGACATATATGTCTCCTTCCTCCCCTCTCTCTCTCTCTCTCCCTCTCTCGCTCTTTCTGTTTCTTTGCAATTTTTAAAAGACAAATTACTATATTGAATATTTAATAAAATATAAATATAAATGTTTTTATTTGAAATTTATTTAAATTTTCTTTTTATTTAAAATATTATGTGTAATAAATTTATTAAAACAATTAACAAATCCTATTAGCAATATTTACAAATGGAAGAGAATTACGTCCGTTGTATGCATTCGCGTTAATACGCATACGATGGTGAACAATTCTAACTGTAATTAACAGACGCGAGAAAGTAGCAGTTACATTCTATCACGCTCGATTTTCATTCATTAAGTAATCATACGTCTCAAGACCATTTTAATCATTCGTGTAATTAACGTGCGAACAAGCCGGTCAATATTTTATAATTCAAATGTAGAACGTCTGTGTCTACTAACCCAAATAGCACATGGCTTTTCTATTCCCGCGCGAAACGCGCAAATCTAGATCAAATATTCCTTGAGGCGCATTTTTCTACGTATGATGCACATATTGCATGTATTGGAATCATATATGTAGGTACATTATTTATAAATTATGTATTTTATACGTGTATAGGTATGTAACTTTTCTTTCTTTATACAGCGCTAATCACAAAGACAGATAAAATTCTTAACATTAAACAATTGCCATTTGTAAATGTGCTTATGATTTATTTAAGAAAATAAATATATGTTATTATAAGAAAGTATGAGTTGTTAAAATAAAAATGAAATTTTTGCATAAAAATAGGATTATCAATGTTCATTATTTGATATTGAAACAAAAGTATTGCCTATGGTTATCTAATAATAGTCTAATAAATAAAAATGCTAAATTATTTGAACATGTGTTCACAACGCGTTTTCAGTGCTATAATGTCATTATATCTATATATCAACAGTAATTGAATTTTAAATAAACAATACTTGATAATTGTACGTTAAAAGGTTGTATAATAATTTAATATAGATAAATATTATTAATAAAATCAATATCAAAGTTCAACAAATTCTAAATACATCAACACTAATTATACATATACATTATATGTATATGAGTGCATATCTTGGCAAATTAGCTGTATAAAAAGTTAATTGCAAAGAAATAAATTTACTTTTCTTATATTCTAGTCTAGAAGTAGACTAGATATAAAAGATGTAGTATTTACGTATTAAAAATTTTTAGAATGTAGAAAACATCATTAAAACATAATAATAATATTATTTTACTGCAAATCTATTATAAATATACATTTGCACTAAAGTGGTGTCATTATTATTGATCTAATGATATACTCTACAGTAATATAATAATCGAGATAAATATACATTATGTTTTCTATGTCAATAATAAAAATATTAGACCGTTATTATCTAAAATAATACATTTTATTTAAAAATGCGAACTATTGTAACACGTTGCAAATAATTAAGAAACATTCTTCTTTTAGTCAGTTCTATATAAATATATCTTTTGCTAATCGTTCATTAGCATGTGCTAAAACTCTGGTATTTGAAAACAGACGTTTCAAGAGAAAACATATTACTAATAAAACTTTAAATCTCATCTTTGAACATGTTAACGTCTCATCTCTGAACATATTAACATATTAATGATAAAATGCCTCGTAACTCGAGTTAATAACCGTGTAGATATAATTATGTGATAATTGAAAAATATTATATTGCATAAAACTTTTTTCGTTGAAAATAAACAGATAGTTACATGTGAATCCCACGGCTACACTTTTCAGTCTCATAGGCGATTTATTTGGCTGTCACATTCATTTGGCTATCACATTGTGAATACATAATTATCTGTTTTACATCTGTTTGTATTTCGTCAAGCTTCACTAATTTATTTACCGTTGAAGAAAAACTTGAGAAGTTTGGCAAGGTCGAATAAACTCGATTTTTATGAAATTTTATACGTTTATGTTACAAGACTGTTTTCAGACAGATGCAATCCGCTAATAGCGACGATTGATATGTCGTAATCGCATTTTTTATATAGCACGTAATCGTGTTTACGAATAAAAAATGTTACATATGTAATACATTAATCATTAAAGACAAAAATAAATACATCAAAAAGTTCAAACTCGATTCAGAGCTAATAAAAATAAAATAAAATATTTTAAATAATTGCGTTCTCTTAATGTTTAAATTTAAAATATACAGTAATTGTCATAATGTAATTTTTGTATGTAAGTATATGTATCTATATTTTAGCTTGTATATTTTGCAATTTATTATAAATATGTATTGCTTTAAGTATATATAATGTTATATAGTTAAATCCACGTATTTTTAACACAGTATAATTTGTTTGTTATCATAAATAACAATAAAACAATTAGAAAATAAAGCATCATAATATTATAATCGTTATAACATTGAAACATGATGTGCAGCGACCAGCATGACACTTGTTTCCGTTGTGTTATCACTGTTTTCGAGATTCTGTCATATTCCGCCCAAAAGTGCGTTTGGTTTCAAGATATAAAACGAAAGAGCAAAATAATACTTACAACAGCATTTTAATAATATACCCAAAATAACTCGAGTAACAGTGCAACAAAGTAAGAATTTAAATTTATCAAATAAATACATTCATATCAAAATGATCGTATCAAGACGTGCTCTCACTTTTTTATTTTGTAGTCCGTAAATATTAAAACTCTTTTTAATATAAAATCTTTTTCAGTAAATCTGCATGATACGCTTATTTACTTTCTAAAAAAAAACTTGTATATTTTAGAAATTCCAGGGGTAAGACCTCAAAAGAATTAGGAATTAAAAAATGTAATTCACAAGTAGAAATGAAAAAAAAAACTGAATTTTATTTCTACATAATTTATCGCCGCATAGAGATTAAATTGATCACCGACGTACATGTGCTCCCGAATCAAAGTGGTATACCACATGAGACCGAAATTAGATTTCAGGCAGGTTTCGGTCCCAAGACACGCTTCTCCTTCACTATTTTCACACTGAGACACGTTTTGGCTGAACACGAATATTCTCGCGAATCGAATCCGCACTACTACTAAAATAATAGTCGGAGCGTTCTCCAAACGCAACCGACTAGAGCCGGCCGAACGGAAAGCGTAACACACAATGCGACTCCGCCGACGTCGCGGTGACAACTGAAGGTTCACGTACATAATGCACCGAGGCGAGGCTGAAGAGACCCCACTAGAGAATGTCCAAGTCGAAGTCGGGCACACCAGGTGTGTCAGAGCGCCTCAAACCGGGGGAATCCTATACCGGCAGGTGAGAACGACCATCTGATCCCTGGTCAAGGATGATTATTCGACCAGCAAGGACAGTCGGCGTCTCGGATCCGTTTGCATTTCTCGGACAAACACTCGTTATAAAAACGAAAAAATAGGCAAAACAAGTGACAATTGTTCGAATACATTTATCTCCAGACTGGGTAAATAAAAAACAAAGATAAGAAAATCTACTGTTCCAAAACACGTATGTTCATTTTGGGTAAATACAAACAATGCTTTTTATATTTAGAGTTATAAGTACTTTCCAAATTATACAAATAGTATTTATAAATTTCTTAACATATACGCCTTTTTTTAAATTAAGAGTTATTTTAGGTGTGTAACATTTATAGTTTCTTTTTCTCATCAGATCTTCGAAAATACACATGTATAAATGGAATTAAGGCTATTTTTTAAAAGAAATTACGCGCGCGTAAAAATTCGGAGTTTTTAACAATTTAAATGGCTTTCAACATGTTCGAAAATAATATATATTTAAATGTCATATATATATATTTATTATTTATTGACCAAATAAATAATATCAATAAAAATTCTTTCTTATAGAGCTGAGCACCACTGTCGTTACTTTCACGTCACTGGACGATTCAAGTCTGATGAAAGAACTTATGGAAAATAATAAAAGGGTCAAAAAGAAGGGGATCTACCCACTGGTTCCTGTCTACCTTGAGCGATGCACCGTCTATCTTGTTCCTTTCCAAATATTTCTTGCTTTGCTGTTATTGTTCGATCTTTTGTTTATGAAATCACCAATTTCTTTCTTATAATAGTGACATCAACGATGATGTTAATTAATATATACATCAAGATATACGTTTCCTTTCATCTATAACTTTTTGGATTTAGAGTCGACTTTTGATTTATGCTTGACGGATCAGACAATATTTTATTTTTGGTAAACAATTTATATGTAAACAAATGCAAGATATATTTTATTGTCTCTTTCGATCAAAACACACATTTGTCATAGCAGGATAGCAAAATTTTTCGTTTAATGTCTATATTATGATTATTAGCTAATTATCTAGACAATTATATTTTTCTATTATTTTTTATTTACAATTAAAATTTAATGTTTAAAATGGATAAAAGTGTTTGTGTCAAATGCATAAATATTTCTTTATTCTTTGTCCAGCATTATACAACAAATCCACGTCTAATCGATTCTCTTTCACGAAATTGCTGTAAAATAATTTTTTCTCTTTCCTCTATTCGTTTCCTCATTGCGGCGAATGAATAATACGTGTCACAACGGGCTTCGTCGAAAAGTACATTGTGCGGTTTTCCCAACGTCGTGTTTCCCAATGAGAGGTCACCGACGCGAGCGAGAATTTTTCTCGCGCGACTCATTAGCGTAGTAAATTAGTGACTCCGGTTCAACGAGCCTTCTAGAACAGACAAGCCGAGAGACGGAACGACAAGAGTACGGCCGAAGGAGCACACGCGGGCACAGGAGGAATCCAGTTCTTTGTCCCATGTGCAGATGATCACTATTCGAGGGGTGAAGACTGGTCCATGGCTCATTCCAAACGGATCTGATTCGATAGGGGACTTCATAGTTGCTCGTTGAGTCAACAGGAAATCCGTGTTAAACGAAAATCTTTTATAAGAGATTGACTTGTAACATTTGTCATAATTTCTATCAAATGTTCGCGAGAGATTTAGGAGAAATTCAATGCATAGGTGATAATTATATTTCTTTATTTCTGTAAAATTCGTAATTTATCGCATATCCCCGCAGGGTTCGCAATCTACTACCAATACTATCCTTCTCCTCTCACTTTAACCCTTTGGACCAACGGCTTAACGTCTCTTTCCGAAAGACGGAGCCCAGTTTTCTTCGCACAAGAGCCTATCTTGCACGAAGGGGCGGAAGCTATCGGAAAAACATTCCATGCTTCATGGCTCTAGTGGACTCGAACCTGGTTCCTCAGATTACGAGTCTGGCGCTCGACTATATACTAGACCACACTGCCGCCTTTATTTCTTTATTTAATATAGGCATGATAAAATTGAATATTATATAGAAGTTTCTTCATAATAAATTAGCTTTTAAAACCATTAATAAAAAATTTAAGCTTTCTGAATTCAATTTTTGTGTTGTTGTTTCACAGCCATAAAATCGATTCTTAAAATCAATAAAACTAGCCTTCGTATCGGGGGAACAGTTTGAATTCTCAGAGAAAGACCCGCGGGAAACGTGTCCTTGTGATTTGCATGTACCTATTCTCTTTCGATATCGGCGGCTCTTCGAGGGGAAAAAACGAATGCAGCGTGAATACCTGAGGACAAAACCGGTCTCTCGAAATCATCTAGGTGGAAGATATATGTATAAAGATCGCGGGCCCGGCCGGTTGCAGTAAACTTCCATTTCGATCAATGATTGCGCGCGGTCCATTTTTAACACTGACGCTGTTATAATAACGCCATTATGTATGAGACTTTGGATCACTTAATTCATTTATACTTAATATCTTGGATATTAGGCCAAATTTAACTATCTAATCGTAACGATAAATAACTCAGACAGCACATTGCAATGTCCAAAATCGGGACATAAGACGTATTAAAGACGTCATATCATAAGATTTTGGACATTGTGCTGTCTGGGAAACATCCGGTAAAATTGAAACAATATATGTCAAAAGATAAAACTGCTCAAACATCTTTCAGGCATAAAAAAACATAATAATAAATACTCGATTAACGTGCCGTGCAAAAGTTCTGCATGTTCGATTACGGTTGATTATACGCGGGATCGCGTAAATGCCGTAAATCATACACGTTCGAAAGGATATGAGAGAAGGAGAATATAACCATTGGGCATAAATCCTTTTTTTTTTATGTAAACGCTATAAAAAATATATTATAAAAAATAAAAATAAAAATAATTTTATAAAGTGTAAAACATTTCGAGATTGTAACAGCTCAAGTGTTTCATAATGAGCATTTGTTCTTTGAGTTTTTATTTTTTATAGGAAATTATTTCGGGGCGCTGAAACTGAACCCGAAGACCGTGGATGTGTTATCCGTTGGAAATATTCGTGGACATGGGTACGTAGTTCAATGTTTTGTGTACATAGAGGCGCTAGTGGGTTCCATCAGACTCATCAGACAGAACTGTTTGATACAGCTGTGAGCTGAGTACTGGAGTTATTGGAGCAGTAACATTATATAAAACTATAAAACGATAAAACGGTATCAAACAGAACGCTCTCAGGTTTTTCCGGTTCCATTCACTCTCTAACAAATAGTTGACAGCATCGTGGAACGCGAGAAAAATTGATGTGAAAATGTGTGGTCGAATTTGTTGGTGAATAGTTCTATCATTATTTTCTCATTAATTACATTAATTGCTGCGTGATATATCTAATCGATGAACAAATCAATATATATATATATATTCAATTCTTTTATTTTATTTCTATGTTATAGACTTGGTAACTTTTCATGTTTTTATCTTTTTGACTACCTAATTTGACTACTTTTTGACCTTTTAACTTAACTTATTTTATTTACACTTATTTAATTCAAATTCTTTTATCTTATTTTTACTTTATGGTATAGATTTTCACTTTATGTTATAGACTTGGTAACTTGTCATGATTTTATCTTATTGACTACTGCGTTTTTGCGATTCTAGATTTGCGATTGCATGATATGGTTTGGGCACTAATGTCAGCGAATTAAAAAATGTTGTGTGCGTGGTTCTAATTCACTTGATAAGGACCAGAATGTGGTCGAAACGTTGTGAAGAATAAAATTGTTTTTGGCCAGTTCGGTCGAGAAAAACGACTTTTATTTTGAATTTATCCACTGGCGAAGGAAGTTATTTGTTTGTATATATATATATATATATTGCATTTTTTATTGAATTTTTCTCTTTTTAATGCCTTTGTTACTTAATTAATTCGTTTAACATCGCATAACTTCAATTTATGTCGCAATATAAATTGGAGCTATATTTTAGTTATATATATTGTAACAAATGTGTGATACACTTTATTATTTTTCAATCGCTAATGAATAATATAATAATGAGAAAAACATTAAAACGTTTTTTGTCTGTTTTACTGAACTTCAGACATGCTTATTGATGTTACTATTGGGCACTGTGTGACTGTTTCAGAATCGGATGACTTTTTGTTTTTACAACAGCGAGAAAGAAAAAAAAATCACGAAACGATATTCGTTTAAAGTTTAAATCATTCATATTAACACAGAAACAAAAACTACAGCAATTTTACATATAATTTTGTTTTCGTTTAAGAAGGTTTTAGACTTAAGAAGTTTATTTTGGATTTTTTTAAGTCTATACAGAATTATATATTGACACAAAGTTGTAGCATTTATGTAAAAAAGTACTTTATTTATATTTCCAGTTAAAAAAAAATTAAAATTTGAAATTTACTGTAGTTTACTCACTGATATCCATCTCGAAAGTTTATGATTTATGTAAATATCTTACAAAATATTTTGCAATTTGTAGTTCATTGGATGCAGACACCTTGTGTTGCGCGTGCGGATATAAGGATGCCAATGGTAAACAACGTAAATTGACATGGGCTAAAACTGAATTAAAATATGATCCGTCATACAACATGTGCCCTCGAGACGTTCTGCCCTGCATAACGTCTGGTTCGCATTTCGAAGGAGAAAAGGAGGAGAGAGTTCTTTGCGCTATGACATGGGGCATGATTCCACCTTGGTATCAGGCAAGTTACAATATTAGGATTATAAATCAATAGATATATAGCGAAGACTTGCAAAGACGAATATATATCAATAGATATATTCGTCTTTTGCAAGTTTATTATTCAATATTTAAGTGTTATTAAAATTAATTGTTTTAAAATATATCACACGAATGATATTCAACATTGTTTTTATAAATTACCTGATTAATTTTACAGGGAGATTACAAGAAACGTCCAAATAAGATATCCACTCACAATAGTCGTTTGGAAAGCATACAGACTTCAACGATATACTCTCCGTCGCTGCAAAAGCAACAAAGATGCATCGTGGTCTGTGAAGGCTTCTTCGAGTGGAAGCCCGGTACAAATAATAAAGTTCAAAAGCAACCATACTACATATATGCGAATCAAGACAAAGATGTAAAAGCAGATGATCCTACCACATGGGCTAATGAATTTTCCGAGACAGATGGATGGAAAGGTTTCAAAGTCTTGAAACTGGCTGGAATATTTGGAGTACATAAAACTGAGGAGGTAGATAAAGTCTTATCCCTACGATTTTATCAGAAATATTTCAGATATTACTTATTGAGTATTATCTCAGGGGAACGTCATACACAGCTGCACAATTATTACAAGAGAGAGTAATAAGGTATTGTCTTGGCTGCATCATCGCATGCCAGTGTGTCTAACCAGCGAGGAAGAATGTCAGGTAAATATCAATATAACATCATTATATATAATTTGTAGAAAAATATAATTTCGTTATTAATGTTTCGTGTAATTTTCTTCTAGCTATGGTTAAGTAAAGATTTATCAACAGATGTGGCTGTTAAAACGTTGAATGACATGATATTACAAGAAACTGCTCTAAACTGGCATCCAGTGTCTACGGTTGTCAATAATGGACTGAACAAAACTGTTGATTGTAGAAAAAAGATAAAACCAAAGTAAGTGGTAGCTCTTAAAAGTAATAGTTTATTGCTTTGTTAAAACCATGCCATAAAATCTCATCTATTATGACAGTAAAGTTAAGTGAATTGATTTATTATTATATTGTATAGGGAGATCGGTCAAGCATCTTTCATGACTTCTTGGCTACAAAAGGGATCAGCCGCTTCAAATAAAAGAAAAAGCATAGATGATAAAGATCCAAGCAACGAAGACGAGAATACCTCAAAAATTCGGAGAGAAAATTAAAATTTGTGAGAAACCACCGATTAAATTTTAATATGTAATAATTTATTTTTCTATAAAAGATCTAAGATATACTGTAAACAGTATATCTTATGAAGTTTGTACATAAAATTATATTTCAATGAAATTGATTTAATAATTAATAGAAACTCAGGAAACAACTACCTCTTCGAATTACATTTTTGTATCATATATTTATTTAACATGTATTTCAGAAAAAAATATCGTTCTTAATAAAATATTTCACATTCAAAACTATATTCACATAATGTATTAACAAATTTGTTCTACGTGTATCATATCATTTTACTTTCTTTTCTGAATTCTGGATTTTCAACCCTGAGAGTTGTAGTATTATGGTTTTATATGGTTTATCTAGAATCTAAATGGGATCAAGTACAAATTATAGTATTTTAAAAGTTTCTAGGTGCTTTTTACATTCCAATAAATATACGTAACAATACATTTTCATAAAGAACTAATTAAGGGGCCAGTAAGCATGCTTTTCTTCATACCAAGTAACTTTTGTTTTCTATTTTTGAAATTTACAATGTCCAACCCTTCGAAGCAATAACAATAGAATATTTTTCTATCTACAGATATGTAAGATTGTAGAATCGAGTCTAAGTTTCATTTACAAACAACCACTCCACCACTATCCAGAATCCTCGTACTATTACTTATTTATTCTAATTTTATTTATAGCATAAAACACATACCATATTTTTTACAAGTATAAATCATAAATTTCTTGTTTTACGTTACATTAACTCAACTTTGATTAGTCAATTCTACTTTTCTTGTTTTCTACTTTCTAGTTTCTTAATTAATATTTTATTTGTGTCATTATATTTCCTTATATTGCCTTATATTTCCAAATATTAAACAAAACATTATTTTATCCATGTTGATAAAATAATACGGTATTATTTGACGAATAAATTAATCGTCGATTAAGTTAATTTAGCCGCACTCACCTTCAACGTAAGGCGATGTGCAAGGAGAACAAAACGAATGATCGCGGCATCGAGGAGCAACATATCGTCGTCCAATAGCGACCGTTTCCCGAGCTAGGGACCGACCCGGTTGGTAGAGCGACGGAGAACGTTTTCACGCCACGCCGCGCCGCTGCCGCCGTCCGCGTCCGCGAGTTCGCGCAGTGTGCGCGCCTGGCCGCAAACGGACCGTAGGTTACGTGCGTTAAGTGCGTGTGCCGTTCGCGGAACCGTTGCTCGCATCGCCGCTCGCCGCGACTCTTCGCTCGCCGTCGTCGTCGCCTCCGGACGTTTCCCGCGTGGTTCGATAGCGAAGGGCCGCTACTCGCTGACGTGATCGTGGCTCGACACATGGCACGTTGACTCCCGGCGACGAGGAGCCGAGCCGAGCCGAGAGTGGAGAGCGGGCAGGAAAACGAGAGCCGGAAAAAGAGTACCGCGCGCGCGGCCCAGCCTCCTCGCGAGTGCGTGCGTGCGTGCGTGCGTGCGTCGCGCGCGTGTGTATCTACTATTTCTGCGTCCCGCTAGGATCCCGAGATTCCCGAGGAAGCGGCGGAAGACCGACCAGCCAGGATGACCAGCGGCGAGGAGACGGGCAAGAGTGTAATGAACGTCGAGACCGTGTATCGCGAGGTCAACGCCAAGAACGGTTGGGCGTCTTTCTATCAGGTGAGAAAGGCAGGAACGCGCGGGTGCGCGCGAGTGAAGGAAGGAAGCAAGGAAGGAAAGAAAGAAAGAAAAAGCGACGGAAGGGGAGGGCGAGAAACGGCTCTTCCGCTCGGCGACGCGCTCTTCCGCTACCGTTTCCGCGGAGCGGTGGAATCACGCGATTCTCCGATGCCTTCGAGGCTGAGTGCTGACACGTCGCCGTGCCGCCGGCTCCTCGTCAATTCGCCGCGCACTTTCTCTCTCTTTCCGTCTCCTCACTCCTGACTTGCTCTCTTTCTCCCTCTCGCGCGCGCGCGCGCGCGGACTCTAGCGTCCCGCGCGTTATCGCTCTTTTCCACGGCCGCCTTGTTTTCCCTCGCTCTCTCGTAAAACGCTCTCGTGTGTCACGTCTGTCAGAATTCTCGTTTCTCGACCGAGAGACCGAGCGTCGTCCGTGGAGTCATCCCCCGGCACGGGGGATTCACTTAGCCGAATTCTCTCCTCACGCACGAGCGGTGATAACCGTCATCCCGATAAGATCGGGACGCGAACGTCATGTGCACGCGGAGACGCATACATATTTTTTTTTTGCTTCTAAATGAGGGATTCAATTCGAATTCGCGAGACTCCGATCTCCCCGATCAGCGATTTCTCTCTCTCTCTCGGTACGACGAGAATATGTTCAAGGTGTTTCTTTATTGTGTCTACGGTCGATAGTAGCCCCGTGACGTTCCATGCGTCAACACGGAGACAATAGGCAGTAAAGTAATACCGTTCGATTCCCGAGACACGCGCGGATTCGCCGAACGCGATACGGCTGCCGCGTTATTACACCGCCGGATGCTAGCTGCTAGCGGGGGATTCGCGCGACGCCGCCGACGCCGAGAGAAAACGCGAGTCGCACCGTGGATTTACGGTGCTGATCGATTTAAATTGCGGAAGGAAAGGGATTTCACGGGAGAGAGACCCCCGGGTGAGCCGAGAATCGACGACGCACGCACGTGTATAACGTGCGATTGTACTCGTCAAGGTCAGGCTTCCAACTTGGAAGTACGTATTTAGCGATCGCACAATTTCTCCGAAGTGCAACATGAGAAACGACTCGTAATTGTTCGTATTGTGCATTTTGGAGCAATAATATTATGAGATATGCTATTGTCTTAATTCATTCAGTATAATTAATTGATTCAGTACTTGTGTCCATTTTAATCAATGTAAGAAAACTTTAATCTTGGTTTAACTTACTGTTCATCTTTTTCTAATTCTTAGAACTTATAGAAAAGGATAAGAAGTAAGTTAAAACGAGATTAAAGTTAGTCTACATTGATAGAAATGGGCATTGGTGTTTGAATATGTATTGAAAATCAAAATTGAACTGAATGTTAAAACCTTTCTAAGATTGATTCTTGTTAATTGAGGTTTTTTCATGCTACGGACAAGTTTTGTTTTACAGTTTTTGTCTGTGAGAGCGTAACTTTATCAGGATTTTGTAATTTAAAAATTGCTAATCTACAAATGTATGTATACTAGCTAGAATGTGCAACAAACGTGCAATATTTCTTGTTACTCGAATACATCTAATTTATCTAATTTGTCTAATCCATATATATTAACCAGTAATTTGATCGTCTATAAATGTACAAGTAAACATTATTATTTGCTGTGGGTTTGTACATCAGACTTGATTTGCAATTATATTGTACATTTTGGAGCAATAATATTATGAGATATGCGATTATGTTAATTAATTCAATTAGTTAATAACTGAATATGTATTGAAAATCAGCAGCAAAATTAAACTTTGAAATTTTAAATATGTACAAATTTCTATTCATATTTATCTTTAACGTGTTCAATTTAGTCTTATTTATTTGTAAGACAAGTGTTTCTTTGTACGCTAACTTTATCGTTAATGACGCGCTTTTTAATATTTTGCAGAACATACGTAGCGAGTGTGAATCTTTTGATTATACATGCAACGAATCAAAAAAACCACAGAACAAAACCTTGAATCGCTACAGAGATGTGGCACCGTACGATCACACTAGGATTATACTTAAAAGAGGTGTATGTGATTATATTCACGCCAATCTTATACGGGTAAATATGTTACGTTAGAAGTTATTTCATAGCATAGAATAAGCGATTGGTAATGATAAGATGAGTATATTACATGATTTGTCTGCACATAGGTGGATCACGCTGAAAGGCAATATATCTTGACGCAAGGACCCTTGCCAAATACCGTCAGTCACTTTTGGCTAATGGTATGGGAGCAAAATAGTAGAGCCGTATTGATGTTAAACAAGGTAATCGAGAAGAACCAAATCAAATGTCATCAATATTTCCCATTGGACGATGTAAAACCCACTATGACGTTCGAAGATGTCAGTATAAAAGTGGATTATATCAGCAAGAAAGAATCGTCGGATTATACTACTAGAACATTACGGTAAGGGAAATACATGTATTACTAACTGTATCATGTTCTCATCGAGATTTGCTTTATAATTAGCAATCATTCTTAATTTTTCTGCATAAGCATATGTATTTAATGTTTTTAACTTATCTACAGTATAACGGACTTGGAAAGTAACGACAGTAGGGAAATCTTACATTTTCATTATACCACTTGGCCAGACTTTGGAGTACCGCAACGTCCAACAGCCTTTTTACGTTTCTTGGCAGATGTCAGGAAATCAGGAGCATTAGATCAAAATGTTGGCCCACCCGTTGTTCATTGTTCTGCAGGAATAGGAAGATCGGGAACATTTTGCTTGGTTGATGCATGCTTAGTACTGGTATGTGAAACGCGGCAAACGATTTCTGGTTTGCAGGAAATTGCTTTGGCAATCATTAATCACCTGTTCCTTTATTGTAGATTGAAAAATGTGGTTTAAACGCCTTGGATGTGCGGCATGAATTGTTGGCAATGAGACGGTCTCGTATGGGCTTGATACAAACACCCGAACAACTTTGTTTTTCATATGCTGCCATCATTCAGGGAGCAAAACAATTGCCATTCGATAACATGGTAAGCAATCAATAGTCACACAGTGTTATTGTCTAACGAATAGATTATGATAACAATTACAATAGTTTTAAATTTTACAATGTTTTTTTCTATATTGATATTTTAATGAACATAAGTATCGGTGCATTCGTTTCTGCAAAGTATGTCCGATTTTATTAAACAATACGTTTTAGATAAAATGTTTTCAACAAAATTATTTTGATAACAGTAAATTATTGTAATCAAATTTAATCATCGATTTATTGCATTTTAAATTTTATTACATTTTACAGGATCTTAACAACGAAATAACTCATGATGAAATAATAACGACTTATGACGAGATGAATAATAAAAGTAACCATCCATTAGAAAAAGACGACGAACCTCCTCCTCTACCACCTCCAAGAGGAGAATCTTTAACGCGTAGTATGATGGCAGATCTAAGCTCGGATGGTTCGACTGATAACGGTATTTCTCTCTTTCTCATTGTAAAATAAAAATCGTTTTAATGGTTTTAAATGGTTTTTATGCCATAATAGGTGACATTAATAAAAAAGAATATGTCAATTACAGATGAAGCAGGTGGACCACCTGATAAACCGCTACCAAGTGAACCACCAAATCATGTAGAATTATCTGATGCAAATCTATCTACATCTGCTACAAATTGTGTAGATGAACAAAACTTAGACGATGGCACGGTACTTGACGAAACTCTTTCCGACGACGCTGAGAACTCTATTGTAACAAACAATTCTCCGTCCAATTTAGACGCGTAAGTAACGTCCTTTAGTAACAAAAGCAAATTATTTAATGGTTGTGTTAATGATCATAAATTTTATTTTCTTAAAACAGGAAAGGGGAAGTACGTCGGCGCAAAACGGAAAAGAAAGAACGACTAGCGACACAAGTACGTGAGATGAAACGCCGGCAGAAGGAGATGGAAGAAAGGCAGAAATTCAAGAGGTCATTATTTTACCCCCTTAAAATAAGCTTAGGCATTGGGATTGGTGGGGGTATCATAGCGATCTGTTACTATATGTACATGCGTAGTTAGATCTATCGTATCATATTTAAGGATGTCGTACGTACGTATATATCACCTTTCGAACTATCAGTAACATTTCGATGACTCGCATAAACGAAGAAAGTTATTCTTAATACGCGATTCTATTGCGAAGTTTTAATGACCTAATTTTGGTTGAAACATCTTCGAGAGAGTAACTAAATAAAAGATTTTCGTATCATACGATCGACAGTAGAATCACATCGCCAGCAATACCGCAAACGATACTGGCTCCATTTATTGAAAAAATGAGCAAAAGGAAAAAGAAATAGAGAAAAATAGAAGAAAAAACAATGCTAAGAAGTGCAAGATAGTACAATTTTGAATTGCACTATTGCATATTCGAGTAGTAAGAACAAGAATGGAAACGGATGAAGCAGAAAAGGAGATGAACTTTCGATTTGTATTTTTATATTGTGATTTATTTTATGAGTATCTAGAATGTTAGAATATGTATATGTTTTTTTCACAATTCTTTCATTACATTTGCTGCAAGAAACGAATAGCTTATTACGCATACGCGTTTATGGAAGAAACGTTATTAATGAACATAAGTTAAATTTTACCACACAATTCTTGTAGATAAAATATAAACATACCTGAAGAATTGTGTTAACTATCCAGGCAAATTACTCTTGTAGGTAAAATATTTACTCAAGAACTAATATGCAATGCTATATCACAATATAATCATATAACTTTCTAAATATATGATTGTGTGGATTTGCATAAATTTCGACTATCTGATCTTTTTATTTAACGCTCATATAGTAATAAACATAAGCACAGAATGAAAATCACAGATATATAAAACTGAATTAAGTGAAAAGTCAATCTAATTGTTGAGTAGCTTTGCTGTTTCCCGCGAATAGATATGTTTCTATCTAGCTAAATTTGATTTAGTTTTTTTTCTTATTATTTACTTAATATGACGATAAATAAGCGAAAGAAAGAAGACAGATTATATTTGTGGTTTTCGTTTAACCGTTTCTAAATGAATAAACTTGATGTTAATATTTCACCAAAATCTAGTTTCGAATGAAGGAGCTAGGATGAAAGACTTATTTCCAAATCATCCTCACAATTCATCACTTTAATTCATGTTTTCAAATAATGTAAGTTTATGTGTTACATTGTGGAGAAGTTTAGAATATAGAGTTTATAGGCACATAATCTTCATTTTTTAAATGAAAATATGGATTCAATGATCTGGAAATAATCTATTCAATTTCTTTAGTAGCGTTAAATGGATATATTAGTGATAGGTCTAGAAAGAATTTGTTAAATGATTTTATTGCAGTTTCATAGATAAATCTTTTTAATTGCTGATTGGAGTAGATTCTACTGTCCTGTATCAAAATCATTTATGAAAATTTAGATCATGCGTATATTATACATTAACACTTCACAAAAAAGTTCAAAAATGTTTCTCATGATAATCTTTAAATTTTTAATTGTTTGGCTATGAGTAAGATATACTTTTTTCTTATTTGCAATCTTTTTATTTTTTTTTTGTTACAAGAGAATGTTATATCTCATGCAAATCGCCATCTGGGATGATTTAGTGCAATTACTGATAGTTGAATATACAAGATAATATTTGATCCAACTACTGATATAACTCATATAAATTTGCTGTTGTTCACGCGAATCCTATTTGCACGATGATAGATCGTAGAATCAATTATTTTAATCTGCAACAAGACATTCCTGATGTATCAATAATAGCTTCGAATTTCTTACGCTTACAAAAGGAATTATCTTAGATGCGATCATGCAAAAAGATTGAATTTCCCATGTCAGGAGAATTTTTGCTGATAAATTATTTTTATTTTCTTTCTGTTATTAAATAATTTGCAAAAAGGATATCACGAATTTTTAGTTTGATATAGAAATCGTTGGTAACAGTAAAAGAAAAGACACAGAAATATGCTATAAACAGGCAAAGTGTGTTATTTCCAAGAGTTATTAGTAGATTTCCGTGATATTTTCTCGCTTTGAATCTTTAAATCGAATCCTATTTATGCATTTATCTCAATAATCTCATTAAACTTCGAAAATTTAGTAATAAAGTTACGTTCATTGTTAGAGAGAAGTTGGAATGGGTTTAAAACGAAATCTTAGAAAATGTGAATTCCAGCTCATTGCCCAACAGCGTACGTTGCAAGCTGTGCATTGAGCATTGCGGATAAAGACTGAGTACGTCTAATGACTTCTAGGAGGGCAGAAGGTGGGGGAAATAAACGAGCGGTGAAATAACGAAAGTTAAGCCCGCGTATTTCTTAAGTCGAGCTTTTATATAAGCCACTTTGAGAGAAAGACTTGTCAGATCGTGTTCCAATCCAAAGATAAAAGCGTGATGAGAAAATGTGCGTCGCGACGTCTTCAAAAGGTGTGCGTCGCTAAAGCGTATTTTTTACTTTTGTACGTTACTACACACCGTTGGAGCACGATCTCCCAACGAGGTTTTCAGACACGTCGTACTTGCGCATATCGACGTGCTCGTCTTCGCGTGATTATGTACGTTAGAACGTTGCAAAAGAAATTGAATGGAGAACGGAAAGGGAGCGAGAGCAATCTACGTGAAACACGATGTCGAGGGGATATGCAGTATTCTATTGTCAACAACACGTTTTAACTTTACGCACTAATATACTATTGTTATCTAATTTTTATCGAGATATTATTTATGTAAATGTAAAACCGCAGTCTGCGACGATTCGATTGAAATAAGGAAACGACGCGATTAATCTCGTGACGATCGTTATCACGTCGTTAGCGAAGCGCACCATGGCGTGGAGATCTTTCAATCGTTCCATGCGTCTTGAAATTGAATCGAAGATGTGTCGAAATTTCGAGGACGGCACATAATTCGCAATCATCCATCCGCCGTTTTACACATGAAAAAGAACCGAGACGAACGATCGCAGACGCTCATCTCTCCTGTTGTTGGCGATCGCGCGAAGCTTCCGGAAGTGAGACATACGCTCATGAAAGTCTACAGGTCACGAAGACACGGTGCTAATTAAAAGTTCCAAAACCGATGTGCGCTCCAACGTGCGTGCGTGCGTACGTGCGTGCGTGCGTGGACACGAGATGAGAAGCGCGTGTATGAGAGAGTGAAGGAACGATGAGAGCAGCCACCGATGTTGATCGTGCAACTACACTCGTCGAAGCACTATTCGAGAAAATGCGGTTTCGCATTACCATTAGAAATTGAATTTCCCCCGGTTTAAATTTTAAAGTAGTATTTTTCATTTTTATTGTAACGTTTTACATTAGAGAAAACCGTTTTTCTCTTACCGATTATATTAGGTATGACAATCTGATTTTATACGTGATCTAATTATAAGCCTTTGAAAAAGTATCTATATGGACTTCACATTCAGCATCGGACAAGGCATGAAAGAGCAAATCCGGCGACGCATTCTTTTATACTACTCGTGTGCATACAATAGATATAACGTTACATACAAACAAAAAACACAGAAACATAGCTAAGTGCCTACTCGTACAAACAAGGGGAGGGAAGGGAAACCAGAGCGATCGGTGAATAGTGTTACGGTAGCGACTTCTCCCCTTTTTGGAAGAGCATAGTCACCGTGGAAGCGAGCCGTTTTTATTACCCGACAATATATAAATAGATAGTTATCTAGTAAATCTTAGATTGATTTACTCAAAATGGTACTTTCGGTGCTCTCACTATATTTAAGGCAAAATATCGCTTTTCTCAATTATTTTATTTTTTTCGTAATGACAGAATTTGCACAGAATTTTTGTGATTAACGCATTATCTTTGGTAATCAGAAACTTGTTTTTTTTTTCCAACAAAAAACTAAGCTCCCTAATCGTAAAAATTGGCAAGACATCTCTGGCATAGAATAATTGTAATGGAAATGCAGGTCTTGCTCGATTATGAAAATTTCTTACATCTTATTATAATAATTTTTTTATTAAGGTCCTATAAAGAAAGACCATTTTGAATCAATCAATCTAACATAATCTCCGGATTGCCGAGCGATCGTGTATATCAGGGTAACGACAGAATGCGAGCGATAAAGTCGAGTAGAATCGATTTTATATCATTAACTAGGCGCGCTTGATCTTGCGCAAGGAAATTTTGACAGCCGCAGGAACTTACGTCTCCAATTTAAAGCAATATATGTGGATCATCGTGGCGATATCGAACGTTTACGATTCGATCGATACGCTTGGCAGCCGGATTAATAATAATAAGAATCGAGTGTACACATTAGGCAGATGTAAGAATGGCGAGACAGAGAAAATTGACGACCCTTGATTCTTATATAGAAGCGCACCAGCTAGAGCATACATTTTATAAATCATGGTCGTTTAATCTACATATTGCATCCTTTATATACGACGGGGCCTTTTTACAGTTACTGACGATTATCAATCGTTGATTATCGACGCAAAAAAAAAAATGGATTTATCTTAATATGAAAAATAGATAACTGTGAGCGTGCTTTTCAAAGGATTAAGACAAAAGTATGTGAAGGTGGAGAAAACTGTACGCTTGTGCGATTAATCGACTATCAATCTTGCAAAATAAACAATTTATTTTTATGGTTTTTTTTTTAATTCTATCAAAGATCGTAGGTAGAAAACGAGAAATTGCAAGAAAAATTTGTAAAATTCACTAATAGAATCAAAACAAAATCTGGCTATGCGTTGAGATGATTATGTAGAAATTGTAGAAGAACATAATTTCTTTTTACGTTGTTTTGATACTTACATATATTAAAAGTATTTCGAAGATTTAAAAAAATAACCGATTAGAAAATCGCGCAGCGTCGGTAAGGGCAATATTTCTCTAGTCCATTCTGCATCTTGCACAACTCGAACTGTAGTTACATTTACGATGTATCGTTGTAGAATTATAGCGTCGAATGGTATTTTAATGTATAGAAAACTGAATGCACAGAGTAAAAGAAGGAAAATGGAAACTGGAAGCGTGTGTGAAAGAAAGAATTGGGTAAAGAAAAGAAAGAAAATAGGTGAAGAGAGGAGCGCGTAGAGTATTGTCTCAATTTGTTGCACAAATTACCAGCAAAATTCTACAAATTATCTGAAACTATCAAGCACTTTTAAATATAAAGTCTTATTAATTTCTTGAAGAGTGAAATACGTATTTTTTTAAGAAATATTTTTGTTTCTAGAAAGTCTATTCTCTAATATTTCTTTGTTAACAAACAAGCGTTATTCGTTGAGTTCTAATTATCAGACGTATCAGATTAGATCTATCTACTTACATATAATTAGCTGATATGATTAGCTGAAGATCGCAACGTTAAACCGTTCCTCTCTTTCGCCTGAATTTCATGAGAGACGAATTACACGGATAGGCATTGGATGACACATGAAGATTTGCATACAATAAAATTATTTATAACAAAAGTAACGAAACGGCAAAATCAATGCTCTCGCGAATACGCACGTGCATCAGGCCGCTTCGTTCGAAATGGTTCCCTCCTACGAGAACACATTCTAGAGGCTGTACTTGGCAGATATTTTACACAACTCGAAGTAGCGTTGTGAGAGTAGAATCTTTCGCATTGTAGATTTCATACACCATAAATTTAAAACACGTAATTCTTACAATTGTGCATTTTTCACCGCGAACTTATTTTCGCAAAATACATTTCTGTGGAGAGTCCGGATTCATGTACTATGGATTCAGGTAATACAGATGTTTTTTTACGAATCATCGACGCAAGTATAGTAGATCCCAGACAATCATGGCGAAGGCATCTCAAATTGTTTAATCGGATATACTTTCTTTTGTTTATATCCTTATATTAGAAAGACATAAATTTGATTACAATTAATGTAGTAGATTATTGATTATTCGTTAAATTTGTAGGAATATTTTGTTTAGTACGTTTCGTTCTAATGCCCGATGATCCATCAAAAAAATTCGGCGTTTACCAGGAGTACCTTAAAATCTTAATAAAAATCACTATGTTTTCCATCTATTTGCATCTATATATTTTATTTGTGACTAGCGTGTTCGATTTTGGTTCGTAAGCAATGTTGATAATTGGCGACTCTTGGTACGCATATTATTTTCCAATTAGATTAGTCTCTCGGCGACAATAACGGCTGTACTAGTATCAGTGTTTGAATATTATTTTGAATTAGCCGTGAATCTCATTTTCGTAAATGTACGAATTGCTGATAGCTAATGATAATAGTACATCGGTTATTGATATCTTTCTCTACCTTAGAGTTGAGCGATTGAATCGTTTATTTCGAAAATTATAAATACAACATTAAAAATTGCATTTAAAAAATGTTTTTTTTTAAATAAATTGTCGATTCTTGATATTGCAGAATTAAAGTTATATGATTTTCGAAATAAACGGCTCGATTTAAATGATCCCAGATGATCCCGATTCTGTCCTATCTTGCAATCTGGATTCGAGATTCTCAAATCGCATAAATCCCGAGACATTTGCATATATATTTATGAGCGATGCGAACAGTCCCTCTCGAATTATTACCCAGCGCAAATTATTTTACCCTCGTTTGTCATTTCGTATTTAGTCTTTCACGTCTAACTAAAGCCCGTAGAGATCCTTATCTGATGATTTCTTTCAGATCAAAAAGCGAAACTACCGAAAGCGGCGAATCTGTGCACAAGGAGGCTGAATCCACCATCTAAATTGAAAGAAAAAAAAGAAAAAACCGTCCTTCCATAGAATAATTCTCCGTTGTGTGCCTTGTCATACTTTAAAGAGAACCATACCAGACATGGAGAATCTGTTTCAGTACAATAAAACTACTTAATAGAAAAAAATAAATCAGACTGTTTGCTACACAGAAATATGATGTATGCATATTTGTTTTCGCGAACTCTCGAGTCCTGGACTAAATATATTTAATAAACGACTCACGATTTTCGTTCTTTCCTGGTTTTTAGGTGATTTCATTAAAATCATCAAATGATTCATAAGGTGATTTCGTCACCTAGAAAATGGGTGATTTTGCAAACTGAAAAGAACCAAGAATTTTTAATTCACATCTTTTACAGTACATTAATTAATGTATATTGTAAGAGAAGCATAAAAATAAACGAAATCGTAAAGAATAAAAATTGAACAATAAATCATGCATTTATGACATTGACATACTTTCGCCATTTTCTTTATTTTTGATTTGTCGATAATTCGTTTCCCTTATATGGTTATTCTATCAAAACTTGAATTTTTTATTATATATTAATAAGTAAAAAGAATGTTTTTTAACTTACGAGTTATTGTGCAATACTGATAAGAACAAGATTAAATTTTCACATATGCTGTGATGTAATAATGTGTAACGTTATATGAACGTGTGGCGTTCTAAAACGGCTCTCTCTTATGTCATACATCACGTGAAGATCTAATGACTACATCTTAGATAATAAAATATTTAACAAGAATATATCTTGTAAAACATTAAGAATAAAATAAATTATGAAATTCATTCTTATTATTCTGATTAAAATTGACAATAATAATAATCGACAAATATAATAATAAAGTAATCATATGCACGGTTAATTATGGTCATGGTATATTACGACTTTTTGACGTAGAAGCAATCCCCTGTACATCGAATATCTTAATTATTTTCAATATTACTTTTTCATCATCATAAAAAAATATGTATTAGCAAATAGTTAAAACAGTTTTTTTAAATTTGTTTTTCAATTCTAAATTTGATAAAATCAATGAAATATGTTGGCAATTATATTCTAATAAAAGACCTAGAGAAAAAATAGAATTTTCGAATACAATAATATTTAAACACTTGAATCTACAGCAAAAAGAAATTAGGAAAAACTAAAATATACCTAAATAAGATGTACTTTATAAGATGGGAAATATACCTTAGATACAAGCAAGAATACGGCAAAATGTTCTAGATTTTGTCGCCTTGTTTTGATGAGTGTATATTTGCGCGGTAATTTTGAGGAATCTTGTGCCAAGTACACACGAAGCGAGACCGTCAGTATTTTACGCGTAAACAGACAAATATCGAGGAGGACGTTCCCTTGTAGTCAAGTTAACACTTGCCAGCTAGGCCGGAAAAACAAAAAGCAACATAATAAACTCAGGATAGATCGACGATGTTGTCGTGTGGTCGTGTCTACCTGGTTTACCAGGTCAGTTATCATCCGTCGTAGAACGTCATTGTATAATTAGCGTGCTCTGGTTTGACGTCATTGTTCCATATAAATACCGAATGCCCGATCTCGGCCACCATAAACTGACGAGAGAGCTGCCTACGACGTGCTATTGTACTCTTAACAGACGATTCATATTGAGACTACTTCCTCTTTTGAGTAACGATATCTCGAACGTGCGGAAGTGATCGTCATTTTCTTATAAAGTATCGTCGATATAATCAGTATCTTCAAATATAGAATGGTAAGTAGGTATATCTATCTTGAATTTAAATAGATTTACGTGTTAATTGTTGCCGTTAAATGTACAATTTTTGTATTACAAATCCAACAATCTTTCGTATAATTTATGAAAAAAATTTTCTTGAAAATAATAAAAAATAAATTAATTCCGCAATTTATTCGAACGTTTGTGAAAATGTCAAAAGCAAGGCCGTTTTATTCTAATGATATATTCATCCATATATCGAGATATATTTTATACCGTACTGAGCATTTTTTAAAGATACCTAATAAGTTTTATCTTATAGAATAAAAATGTTGGGATTCTTCTCAAACACAGATTATCGATTATTCGCGAATCTTTAGATGTCTATCGATGCTATATGAATATAAAGGCGCTATCTTTTCTTCTTTTTTAGATGGCTATCACATTCGTTGGTTTTGTTCTGCTGCTCGTCGCCTGCTCTTACGCATTACCTCTTAGAACGGCGAGCATGTATGGTTCTCCCTTGCTTGTTGTGCCAATAATCGTTCAGGAACTCGACGATTCCCGAGCTTTGATAAACGAGGAACCGATGTACGCGTTAGACGACGGCAACCTCAACATCGAGAAACGCAGTGCAGAGGAAGCAGATGATGATGATGATGATGATGATGATGACGACCTCGAGACCGCAGCTGGTACCAATATTCTCCGTCCTCTCTTCGTCTATCGCCAGCAAGTCGCGTATCGAAAACGTGTCAGAGACGCTCGACGAGGTAGGCGAATATAAGCGGAGGAAGGAAAATCGATTTGGAGATTTCGACAGTTGAAACTGATTGATTATCCTATTTTGGTATTATCGGGAAGATAATACATTCGAGATAGGAGACCTCCATCTAAAGCCTTACTGGTAAAGATCTTTAAAATCCTGAAGAAGGATTGAAAAAGAATCGAGCTTGTGATGATAAAAAACCTCATAAAACTTAGATAAAAGATACGCAAAGATCAAAGAAAGATAGATAAATATAAGGGATAAAAATTAAAGGAAATGAAGATAGCTTTGCATCAAGATGATTCGATTAAACAAAGTACAAATATTTGTTTTGAAAAATACCAAGGTATGATAATGTAGGTTTTTTATAACGAAATATCCAAAGCTTGTCAGGGACTGAAATAAAGCTTGCCGCTCGTGGATATTTCTGCGTGTATCCGTGAGCGCAGGAGAGTAAGAACTCAAGTTTATAAACAGCGAAGCGGAAGACTCGCGCCAATATGAAAATTTTGGGCGCAAATAAAACTGTTCACATGTCGACGAAGCTTATCGCTGAGATAAATATGTGAGGTATAGACAAAAATACAGAGAATCGGTAACGAAAGAAAAGTTTTTGTGTTGAAGAACGGATGAACCTTAAAACGGTAGTAAGGGGTATTGAACTCGCACGGTATAATTACGCTAAAAGGTTGTGGACCTCGTTATTTCGACGAAAATTAACCGTGCAAATTAACAAGCGCGGACTAATCTACTGATTCAGGAAGGCCTTTTTTTTAAGCGAAGCAACAAAAGTGACCGGAGAAATGAGGAAAGCATTTAACTATTTTACGATCATGTATACGATCTCTTTAAAAGATCCTGTAGGTTTAAGTCAGATTAAAGTTAAGTCTACAAGAGAGGGAGTTGATTAAAATAACAAATAGAATAACAGAAGAATTAGAGGAAGCGCCAAGTGTATGTATCTCTTTATAATGTAATTAAATAGCGATACTTTAATTGTAAGTCAATTATTAGTAAAAAAAGAATACGTTAATGATCGAAAGCTGTCTACCAAAGTTGCATTACGCAAGCAATTAAGTAAATTAATGATATTGTGAATATTCAAATGTATGTACATATATGAACATTACATTGTGATACGAGAAAATGTTACGTGTGCAAATATATGATATTTTATAAATAAATGTAGAAAATTGATTATATGTTTACTTCTTATTCTTGCCATAATTTACAAATAATGCATCATAAGAATTAATTTAATGTATTGATACAATGAGTACATTTTTCATCTCTTAATATAATTACTTGTCGTAGCGTAAACCTGTTATTGATACAATATAAGAAAATTATTAAAATATAGAATTGAGAGTAAAAATGGATCGAATAACAATAATTTATTATTTAATTTTATTAAAATATATTATCATCTTTTTATGACGAAGAAGTTTCAATTAGAAAACATTATTAAAATCGTTTCAGTTTAAAATAATTTATTTTACATTACATTTACTGAAATATCAATATATATTTCTCTGTTTCTCTTATCAGGGATAATTTGTCATCACTACTTTTCAAGATCTACTTATAAATCTGGCTATGCATATCTAATTTTCCCTTAAAGAGAAGGGAAAGTACGAAACTCAGAAACTTCCAGATTTATTTTCCCGGAAATACAGGATATCTCCAGTAGTTACGATAAGGTTCCCTCCTGTCGTTTGCTCGATATCTTTGATTTGGAAGCTGTCCTCGATAATACGGATACCGATACGGGTATGGTGCTTGATATCTATCTTCGGCTACGTCGAGATCGCTCTCAAGATTCGCACTCCGTTTCGATGAAATGACACTTCTATTCTCGTCATAATTGTTAGGCTCAACATCACCGGAGACGGTCTCGATCGATGCGAGATTCGAGTAATCCGCGTCGCCTTTTCCAGCTTGGCGAGTTAGACGAGCCGGTATTAAACTAGGATCCAATAAGATATCATACGATGACAAATCTACAGATGGTTCCTCTTTGTCATCACCTTCTCGATCTCCATTGTGTTTTAAGTGCTGCGTATCCTTGATATAGCTGCTGGAAAAGTCCCCAGTTGAAGTTGTGGATGCCTTATTAAAGTATAATGGATTTTTCGCGTGTTCTCCAACTTGGGTAGTGTTCTTCACGAGATTTTCATCGAGCAAAAGATGCTTAGTATTATTCTGCACATTCTTTTGTTTTAGCAGATCTGCCGGATGACTCTCAACATTTCCTACCTCATGTGCGTTATCCCACAAAGTTTCAATTGTCGTTGACGATCCTGTGGGCATTGATTCTGCCAGGATCGTCGCAAGAGAGAAGAGGCTGATGAAGATGACGCTGAAGCGTTCCATTTGAATCACAGATTTTCCGAATGATACAAAGACTGCAGCTCTCAATTGCCGACTAATAGCTCAAGTAAGTTGAAGCAAGTCTTTTATAGCTCGTTCTTCAAGACTCGCTGCTAAATCACTCGTTAAACACCATCGAGTCTCGATATCGTTAAGAGTGCGCTAACGATAAGTATAATATTTCTTCGTGGTCGGTCAAACATCAGTTGTTGAAATACTCCAACGTTCTCGTTACATTATTTCACAATCGTTTTATAAACTTGTAAAATGCAAGAAATCATATTTAAATAAAATTAATCACATTAAATAAAATAAATGTCCAACTTTCTGTAATTTTTCTCAATTTTAATCTTTCTTTAAAGATATTAAAATGTAAGAAATAAAATATTACTGGCACATATTATATGTTAAGCAAAACAAAAAAAAATGATATTTTATTCAATATGAAAATATATGAAAGATACAGGATTATAATTCGTCAGAAGTAATTATTATATATGATTGACGATTGTGATCTGTTTCTATGATCTTCATGATGCAGCATCCGCGCGACGAAGTTTACCGCAAGGTTGATACTCACGTTTATTAGCAAAGTAACGATAATTCTTTCAGCACGTCGTATAAAACCAGTACGATCCGTTATACCTTAACAGAGCTGGAAAATCCTTGGTGAAGTAGTCTCGTCGAAGCAACAGGAAGAACATCGCACAGTTTCGTCATCTTGATGAAAAACGACTCATCGGTACGTTCTTAGATCAATCGTTTGAAAAGTCCAATTTTCACATAGCAATTAACACATCGTATATAAATGTATGAAGAATATACGCTACACTTTGCGTCAGAGAGATAATCTCAATACAAAACTTCTATTTTAGAAAGATTATTTATAAAGTTGCAGAAAATATAAAAAGTATATAATTTACTAAATTATAATTCTGTGATCATTTTCATTATTAATGATAAATTTAAATTGTTATACAATATAATATGATGGCACATAATTTTCTAACGACAAATCAATGTTGTGTATTAATATTTTAGATAGATATTTTTTGAGTAATTAAATTTATTAAATTAAAATCTTAAGAAAGTAAAATCTATTATAAACTATCTATTTAACCTTTAAGCTATAAAGTTTTGCCTTTTAATCGTATTTAAGTCATAGATCAAGACTTAAACAGCTTATATTTAAAAGACTTTATTCATTGCATTTTATAGTTTGAAAGTATCATGTTCTTTGTGACCTTCTTACTATTCGTGGGGGTATTGCACGCGAAACCTATTGAGTATGAAGACATTGCTAATCTGTTACCAACGGAACCTCAGACTACGAACGATACATTGGCCGCTATTGTGCGGGATCCGGTGGTGAAAGATGCTGTGCAAAATACGGTCGGCAATGGATCCTTAGCAGGCTTGGTAGTAAAGAAGAAAGTGTTTGTTGTGCCCGCTACTGAACCTACTAAGGTTTACATTTTATACATATGCTACTTAATTATTATGAATTATGAATATTAATTCATTATTTTTGCGCATCTATTCCACTAAAGAACGATGTTTAAGAATGCAAATAAATACTGCTGTTATTAACGATACTTGTTAATTATTAGTGTGATTATTAGCTTTTATTAACGATAACGAGTCACGTCAAAGCGTGATTAATCATTTATATAACAACAGCTCGGAAATGTCAATTTAGTTATCAAAAAGAATTACGTAATTTCGCTGTTGCAGTATTAATTATTGTTTCATATTATTAAGTCAATTCGTTTTTGGTATAGAGATGAATAACTCTAGGAAAATAGAGAAGAAATTTGACTTATATAATATAATCGAATTTATGTCGATATCTGAAGATAGAATCTCTTTAAGGTGGTGTCACAACGCGAACAGATTCTCGTCGTTCCTATGACGCATTTAGAGGATGTACGGAAAAATATAACGGAGGCTGTAAACGCGCCAACTGAGGCAGATGGTTTGGCACTTACAGATGCTCAATCTTTCACCGAAAACAATGAAAATGGATACACAAACTCGGTAAAATTTGCATGTTGATACTTATCATCGTAACATATTTTTTTT